GCGACTCCCAAGACGGTCACTTTCCTTCCATTTCTGCCAAGTCTGAGCCTTTGCACGGGGTGCCCTCCCTGCTGAAAACCCTGGCGTACTGCCTGGTGCCCACGTCTGCTTGTGGAAGTAGGGTCCCCTGTGCTCCGGCCCCTCGTGGCTCCCCAGCTTCCCCGCCCGCAGCTTGGGCTTCAGCCCCTGGAAGCCACTCACAGATCCTGCCGGGCCCCTCCCCGCCTGTGCCTTCCCCAGGCGCTCCTGCTCTGCCAGCTGTCTCCTGCGCAGCTAATCCCTCCTCTCCCAGAACAAGCATCTTCCCTGGGGAGGCCTGGGGAGCAGCCAGTCCCCTCCCATCCCCCTCTGCCCCAACCTTGCCACACCAGGGTGCGAACCCGGCAGGGGGACTCCTTCAAGGCAAGAACTCTCTCCTTAGGTAAAAAAAAGCAGGTGCAGTTCCTGCAGAGTGACGGAGGATAAGCCGGGCGTAGGTCTGCTGGGTGTTTCCCCCGCGGCCTGTGCTGAGCTGCGGCCGGCACGCCCGTGGGTCCACCCCGCAGCCCTGGGCAGGTGGGGGCGCGGCCCCAGGGGAGCCCCGCGCACCGGTGTAAGGGGGCCAGGGCCCCGTCTGTCTGACTCTGGGCACTCCGTTCTGATCCGGGCACCTGCGCTGAGCCCGCCGCGTCCCCCTGGGTGAGGCCGCCGGTGCGGGATGAGCCACAGTCCCCGGCGTCCACCCTCGCTGTCAGCTTATCGCTGAGATTTTCACCCCATGTTTTATTTTCTGCAAAGTATTGAGCAATTTTCGCACAGAGCTTGTTCTCGCCTCACACCAATCCGGAGAGAGACATAGACAGGGGGTGGGTATATTTTTATTTTAAATGGGTGACTTTGTTACATTTTTTTTTAAATGTGTGTGCGACGCCCTCTCTGGCGTGAGCTTTCACACCCACACCCCCTGCGTGAGTGAGCCGGGAGCCCTGGCTGCCGGGCCTCGGCCGTAGACCTTGCTTCTTTGTAAATTGCTTCTGATTGTGGAGAGGCGTGGACTCGAGTATGACAGTGTTTAAAACTGTGGCGGACCCAGCGTTGATGGACAGGACACTAGGAAACCCAGGACCTAAGCGATGGCCTCGTTCGCGCCGGGGCAGGAGAGGTCGCCTGACTCTGAGTCCCTTCCAGCCAGGCCGGAGCAGACCTCCCAGAGCGCGAACCGTTCGGCAAGCAGGCACGGGGCATCACGCCCCTAAACCACGTCTCCTGAGGTGTCTCCTGGGAGAAGCCTCCTCGTCAGGTGTTTCCACAAAAAGAAAGGACCTAAATTTGGAAGAGGCGTGAATTCAACGCTGAGACTGTGCGTCGGCAGAGCCAGGCGTCTGAGAACCCCGGCCTGGAAATGTCTTGCTTCTGTTTAACCCAGAATTTTCTGAACTCGGTATCCCTGGGGATCCTTCTTGGGGACAACATCCACTGAAGCCCCTCCGAGCTAGGGTTGCAAAGAACGTGGCTTTGAAAACGCCAACTAAAATGCAAAAGCATTAGTAATTTAAGACAGAGAACGAGGACGTCCTGTCAGCTCTGCCTTATCATGGACTTTATTTCTGATTCACGTCCTGGCCCCGAGGACCCAGGGGCCCCATGGTAGCTGAGGCCCCGTGGTCCCATGGTAGCTGCACCCCGTGTCTTGTCATCGGGGAGGGGCTTGAACACACATGCCCCCTGGGGTTCCAGGAAGAGCAGAGTGGGGGGCGCTGCTCTGGCACCAGTGCGTTAACCACCACCTTTCAGGCTGATTTGAGAAACCCTATTGAGTGTGACAGGCAGGGGCCACCTGCGGCGGCGGGGTGGGTGCTCCCAGACAGAGCACCAGCTGCTCATGACTCATCCCTGCTCTCTGGTGTCGGGAACAGGGGGGCGTCTCCCCTGCTCTGTAGTAAAGCCCTGGCCTCCTGGTCCCGGAGCGTCCCCCGGGCTCAGTGGTCCCTCGTGGAGACACTCAAATCGTGCCGGCTTCTCTCCGAGGGACAGGCTGGGGTGCCTGGGAGTGACCAGAGGGGAAGCCCCTCGCGCCAGAAACCCTCCTGCTGGGGCACAGGACAAGCTGTCTCACCGCTCTCGCTGGGCTCAGCGCTCCTTGGCTCACGGCTGGGATGCTTTCTCTTCAACCTCACCCATTCATCCTTTAAGAACCAGTTCAGGAATCCATCCATCCACCCCCCTGCACCCCCCACCCCGGCACTGACCCAAGCACCCTCCTATCCCATCCACCCACCCGTCCATACACCCACCCAGCGGGCCAAGGCTGTGCCCATGGCACTGGAGAGGCAGACTTGAAGGAAACGGAGGACACCTCGGCCCCCACGAGCTGGCCATCTCGTCAGGACAGCAGCGGGGCCGCCTCCCGGTGGTGCCCACTTCAGCATGCGTGTGCTTGCTCCCAGGGAGTCGTGCCCACACACCTGGTGGGGGCCCCTGGGCTTGAGTCCAGTGGGCGAGCCCTTTAGACAAATAGGAAATCCGTAATGTGGCAGGAGGGCGGTGACGAGGGCCCTGCGAGGGGCCGGCGCGGGGCTGCGGTGGAGCAGGCTGTGGTGTTGCAGACAGGGCGGCCCGAGGAAGCGACATTGAACACTGACCAGACGCGAGCGCGTGTGAGCTCTGGGATTCCAGGAGCGCAGGGCTCGCTGGCCTTGGCTTTCGCTCTGACGGAAGAACCGACGAGGGCTCTGTGCAGCCGGCTGCTCGCGGTTCTGCTCAGCTCCCGAGTCCTCGGCTGCGTCAGACCCGTCCCCGGGGGCTCACACAGCCTCCTCTGCCTCCCCCTCCAGGGCGACGTGGGGGGATTGAGACCACCGGAGGTGCGTTCCCTACAGGTCCTTAGAGGGTCCTGGCCAGCTAGAGCCTGGCCACTCATGGCCTTTGGATTTCCATGGCCACTCCCTGACCCCCCTCCTCACCCCAGTTCCCGGGGTCCCCTAGCACGTGCAGTATCCGCCCCAAGTCCTTGTCTCAGGTGCTGCTTTCAGGGGCACCGATCCCGGCAAGACCCTGCCCCAGAGTGGTTGCCCGAACCCTTCTTGTCTGGTGGCTAGGACAGAAGCTGCTTCATCCACAGCCGGGAAAGGAAACGGTTCGTCGCCGTGCACGGGGCAGCAGGGGCAGCCCCCACGGAGCACAGAGTGGCGGGCAGCAGTGAGGACCCGCGTGCGCCGTGAGCACGCCCGGCAGCTGCGGGGAGCAGTTTGTCGTATGTATCAGGGATCAAAAACAAGGCTTATGCTGTTTGATCCAGTTAGGCTTTTGAGAAGCCTGCTTGTCTCACTCGACAAATAATCCAGAATAAGGGAAAACTCGGCGCCGAGACGCTCCTCGCAGGCCTAGGCGTGGCGCGAGCGTGGGCCGGAGTGGCAGCCGTGCACCGGGCGTCCGGAGGAGAGCGGCTTCCGTGACCGTGGACGCTGTGCGGCTGTGCCGGCGCTGGTGAAAGGAGGGCGGTGTCCCTTTTGGCTCTAAGCGCTCCCTGAGTCCTTCGGGCTGAGGGCTCGTCTCCCGTCCCCTGTGCCGTGGCTCCCCTGCCTTCTCCCCAATTTCTCGTTTCCCGCCTGCCTGCGCCCCCGCCACCCTGGCAGCCCCTTTGCAGGGCAGCCCCTGCTCCTCTTGGGCCCCAGGACGCCCGGTTCCTGGCCCTCGCTCCGTGGCCCCCCGAGCACGTTGCAGCTCTGTCCCTGCATCTTCCCGCTGCTCCTCGGGGCCCAGCCAGGGCCTGGTCTAGGTTCAGAGGACAGAACGGGCCGGGGCGCGCGGCCAGCCAGGGAGGGCCAGCTCCATATCCCGTGTCTCCTCTGCTCATGGACGCGGTCACCCCAGCAGCAGAAGACCAGAAGACCCCGGAAGGGGCAGGTCATCCTCTCCCTCGGCCCTCCGGAGGGAGGACCCTCTGCTGTGCGCAGCCCGCCTCCCGGGCAGTCCTGCCGGGGCTGGTGCCGGGAGCCCTTTTTGCGCTCGTGGGGCGGCCAGCCAGTGTCCGAGGGCGCGCTGATGAGTGAGCGGGTTCCGATCACAGCTCCGGAGAAGAGTGGCGAGGATGGAGAAAAACGCCAGCGTGTCAGATGGGGAGTAGGGTGTTTTTTAGTCTTTTCACTGTCTCTTTAAATGCCTCTCAATGGAGTGTTATTGCAGTCAGCAACGCCTGAAGGATCCCTGCTCTGCAAGTGACCCAGTTCCTTCAGCAAATGAATGACGTTAAAAATGGGGGAGAAGGAACTGGGGCAGACTGCAGCGCTCTGAGCAGACGCACGCGGGCTGTGCTGCTGATTCAAACACGTCCACCACGGAAGGCGGCGGAGACCGTCAGAGACAGACGAGCTGATTATTCATTTTTTTAAAATTTATTTATGTATGCAGACAAGAACCGGGGTGCAGGCCAGAGGTGTGGGGGCTGAGAGGATTCACCAGAGACAGAGTGGGGAGCAGAGCAGGCGGATCCACTGAAACCCACTGCTGAGGGGAGCAGCGGGCGAGACAGGAGAGGTCTGCTGCCCCGTGTGGGTCACCTCCCTGGCCGGGGATCGAACTCGTGCTGCAGTAGCTGTAGAGAGCTTCATAGATTGTGTCTTAACCTCCTGCGCCGCCAGGGAGACCCCGACAAGCTGATTATTAACTGATACGAAGGACTTGGCGGAACTGGGCTTGTTGGGATAATGAATGGAGCTGATGTCTCTTTGAAGAACTTGCAGCTGGATATATGCTGACGTATCGCAGGGAAGCGATTGTCCAGATCAGAGTTTTAAAATGGCAGGAAAAGCAAAAGTGTTTGGGGTTCGGGGGGAACGGGTGATACAAGAGTGGTGATATAGCAAAGCTTTTGAATCTGCGTGACGGATATCAGGGGGCTTTTTAAAAATGCCATTTGCTTCCTTTTGAAAATGTTTGAATAATTTTCTGTTGAAAGTTAAAAAGAAAAAACCAATTTCCCGGCTTTCCCCAGTGACACGAAGTCTGTGCTTGGCTTTCAGAGTGACCGCCTCCTCATCAAAGGTGGACGCATCATCAACGATGACCAGTCCTTCTACGCCGACGTCTACCTGGAGGATGGACTTATAAAGTGGGTTGAACCGACAGAGCTCTCCAGGCGCCGGTGTCCGGGGGCCCCGGGGGAGGCGAGGCCGGCGCTGGGCGCAGATGCATGAGCTGTGGCCCGGCTGTGGGGTAGCTGGGCCACTGTGAATATGGGGCTAGAGAGATGTGGGGAGGCTCCAACTGTGGGTGTAGAAGGGCGGGGAGAGGACCCGTGTTTCTTGAGCACCCCTCTTCCTGCGCCTGGCGCCCTACTCCCCAGCTGGGAAAATATTGAGGCCAAATTTTGAAGAAAGCAACCTGGGGATCCTGACTGGGGAGCGCGGAGTTGATGTAGAGTGAACTCTGCTCCCCGGTGGTGCCGGAGCTGGAGCGTGGGCCGAGCAGGCAGCCTCTCGCCGGGACCTGGACAGTTGGGGGTGACGGTGACTTAAGCGAGAAGCCACTGTCTCTGCGCTGGGTCTGTTGCTTCGTCTCCCAAACTGCAGCTGGCGCCAGGCGCCCCAAGTTCAGGGTCCCTGCTGCTATTGGACCATGTCTGGGGAGACTCGTGTAAGTTCCATTTCCTGTACGGCCTCCGGCCGCGCCGCAGATTCCCTGCACAGAGCAGCCGCACGGGTGTGATGCGCACGCTGGTGGCAGGCACACACGTGGGTCCCTGTTCCGCTGCTCCGGGGCCACGGGGCCACAGAGCTGGCTGCACCGCGCACAGGGGCTGGGCAAGACCCAGGTTTGGACCTGGAGCCACAACTCCTTTGTCTGCCCGGGGATTCTGGAGTTAGCGAGAAGGGCCAGTGGCGAGGGAGCGGTGTTTGTCTCCCAAAGGAATTGGCTCTTCAAGAAAAGCTTCCCTGCACCTTCTCCCGGCTTGCCCCGCGCAGCCCCGCTTCAGGCGGCTCCGCAGCCAGCATCTCCGTCCCAGGCTGAAACGGGGCCGCGCAGTCCCCCCGCCTGGCTGACGAGGTCTCGCTGCTCCTCCGGAAGGGAGGCAGGGAGGTCCCTGGGCCTGGTGGGCAGACCCCGGTGTGACTTCAGGCGACTGTGCTTGTACCTGCCCTGGCCCCTGGGTGTCTTGGGCAGGGCCCCGCGCAGCTCTCAGACCCAGTGTCCTGTTCGGCAGAAGGTGACATTCCCTCCTCCTGCTTGGGCTGTGGCAGGAGACAGAGGGGGCTTGTGAGACCCTCAGCCCCTCAGAGTAGGTCCCACGCGAAGGTTCTTCTGGAGCCCCCACAGCCACTGCTCACAGCCGCATCATCCATGGGGCCGGGCTCGTGGCCGTCCATCCCGCCCATGTCCATGCTGCCATGTCCATCCTGCCCGTGTCCATCCTGCCCGTGTCCATCCTGTGTCCGTCCCGCCATGTCCATCCCATATCCATCCCACTCACGTCCATCCCACCATGTCCATCCCACCGTGTCCATCCTGTCATGTCCATCCCGTCATGTCCACCCTGAGCCGTCTTGAGCCATTTTAAACATCTCCTGTCTCCTCTGAAGGCTCGTTGTGAGGATTGACTGATCATCCTGCTTGCTGGGAGCCTCCTGCTGAATGTTTCCTTCACCTCCCGACACCCACCAAGATGTTTGGGGGTGGAAAGGGTGGGCTGGGCAAGGCGGGGTTCTGTGCATGCAGTGGACTCGGAGGGATGGGACCAACCACCTGAAGCCCCAGCCCCCGCCATGTGGTCTTGGTGGGGGTCGGGGGTGCAGGGGCCAGTAGTGTCTCCAAGGGCTCCCTGCCTTCCTGGCCCTGTACTTCTCCTGGGCTTGTTTCTGGTTCTGGGGTGGCCCCAGCTCGATGGGAGAGCTGCAGGTAGAACCCCCTCCCCTCTGCACCCCCACCTGCTTGCCTGGCCCCGGAGCCAGCAGAGCCGGGGACTCTGGGGCAGTGTCAGCCAAGCTCCCAGTGCTGCCGTTTATGGGACTTGGAAGAATTGTGACAGCGGCCTAGTCCCAAGTTCAGGACAAAGGGATTGTCTGAATAAACTGCTGCTGGTCAGGCCCTGTGGCCTCCACCAGGCCCTGGCCTTGATGGCTCTCGTGTCCTTGCTGGTCCAGCTGAGCCTGGCCCCCATCCTGGCTCTGCTCTGACCGGTGAGCCAGCCCCACAGCGGGCCGGGCTTGGGGTGCTCCGCCTCCTCGCGCCCCTTCCCCACTCTGGAATCTTCCCACCTTCCGGAGGAAGCTGGCGGACACCCAGCGGGCTAGGGGCAGAGAGAGGGTCAGCTCACTCACTCAGCCTCGGCCGCCCCCGGCATGCTGGCCCCGTGGCTGGTGTGACGCTGTCAGCAGCTTTGTCTGGTGGATTTGAGAGGCCAAGTTCCCAGACCAGGCTGCGTGATTGGCCAAAATGAGAACCCGGGGCCCGTCTCTGCCAATTCTCCAGGGTCCCTGGGGCTCCACTGTGGCTCTGGAGGCTGGAAGTCCAAGTCTCGGTGTTGGTGGGTGGGTTTCCCCTGAGCCCTCTGCGCCCAGCGTGCCCTTGCAGGCCCCTCGGGGACTCTGTGAGCGGGAGTGTGTCCCCGTGGGAGCTACTGTCCTCTTCTCATCAGGATGCCCACCTGATTGTTCTAGCTAATCACCCCATCTCCGGCAGTTACGTTCCGAGACGCCAGGGGGCTTCTGCAGGTGGATTGGGGGCAGACTTCAGCTGTGGCAGGGTCGGCCCTCGAAGCCGACTGAGCTGGGGACTGCCGCTGTGTCTCGCTGCGGCCACTCTCCTTTGAGTCCCTGAGGCGGTTGCCAAGTGTGTACGAGGCGCTCTGGGGGCCAGGCTGTGGGGAAGCCGGGCCACTGATGGAGTCCTGGGCGCCCCTCTGTAGGCCCACCTTGCACCTGCCCGCCCCCCCACAAGCCTCCCCGGACCGCCAGGTGGCGATGCTGGCCCTCCTGTGCCCGCCCGCGTGGGGCTAGATCATGGCACCTGCCTGGTGCTTCCCTCCCCCTTCGGCCGCGGGCCCCTAGGGCCCTGCCCGGGCCTCTGGGCGCACTGCACCTGCACCGGTGCGGACACTTAGCCGAGGAAGTGACCTTGCCTGGGTGACTGTTGTTTTATTTGACTTTTAAGAACCAAAGGCCTCTCTGTCACTTGTCTCCAGACAAATAGGGGAGAACCTCATCGTTCCCGGCGGAGTGAAGACCATCGAGGCCAACGGGCGGATGGTTATCCCCGGAGGCATCGATGTCAACACATACCTGCAGAAGCCCTCCCAGGGCATGACCGCGGCCGACGACTTCTTCCAGGGCACCAGGGCGGCCCTGGCAGGCGGGACCACCATGATCAGTGAGTGGCACCCCTGCCTTGGGGCCGGGCACCCACCCCGGGTGTGGCACCGAACGTCCCACTCACTGCCCCACCCCTAAGGCAATGCTGAGGAGGCAGTAACGTGCCGCTGCTGTGCCCAGAGCGACTCTAAGGCAAAGTAGACACTAACAACAGAAATCACCTCAGTGTGCATTGAAATGAGGAAACAAGCACATCTTGGCTGTTGCCGCTTAGGGCACGATTGCAGTCAGCCTTTAGACATTTGGAAACCTTGAACTGATTCAGAGAAGAGAATTAAGGGCAGAGTGGAGCGGACGGTGGGCGCGCGGTGCGTAGCGGTGGGTTTGGTTCCGAGAACAGCTCGGAGGCTGTTTCCTCAAGGCTGAGTGTCCCAGAGGGGCGTGGGGCTGCGGCCGCCTGCACGGCTGTGCCATCACCATGGCTGCAGTGTCACCAGGCAGTGGGGATTTGGGGGGGGGGCGTGTGGCCAACAACAGCTTGCGTATTCAGCGGTGGTGTGCACAGGCGGCCCCTGGGCTTGGGGGTCGCAGTGCTGCTGTCTACCTTTGTGGCGACATACGCATCACAGGCACATGAGGGTCAGCCAGGGCGGCCTCACCTGAGGACACTTCTCCCAGTGTCCCCATCGGTGACGATGCTGACTGTGTAGGGAGACACAGCAGAAGTCCCGAGCATGGTGTGCAGGAGATTAGGCTTTTGGAGCCCTTGACAGAGTCGTTATTGTGACAGGTGGGTAAGTAGAGGCTCAGAGAGGTGAAGTAACTTGGCCGAGGTTGCACAGCAGAGGAGTGGTCGTGTTGGTCAGTGTGCTGCTGCAACGCTGCGTAACAAAGCATCCCCACACTTCAAATGACGTTGGCTTTTCGTATTCGCGGGTCTGTGGGAGTAGGGGCAGGCCCGGGTGACTGCTTAGGCTGTGTGTGGATTCACTTGGGATCAGGATCCCAATTCTCGAACAAGTGCCCGCCTTGGCCCCCTTCCTGGTGGACAGCAGAAGTGTGAGAAGGGTCAGGGACAAGTTTCCGCTCCTCTCACACCTCATGTCTTCACGCTGACCTTCACCCCTTCTCTTGACCAAAGCAGGTCATCTGGCCAAGTCCAAAGCCCCGGGATCTCCCTCCGGAGATCAGGGTGAGGGAAGAGGGAGCTGGGGACCATAATGCCACCCTCCACAGTGCTCTCTGGGCTGTTGGGCTCCCTCTGCTGCCTTTTGCAGCCTGATTGGCTTTTATTAGCAGCTGCTTTTGCTTAGATTCCATTTTAGTGAGTGGTTTTCAGTAAAGAGCAGTTGATTTTAAATGCTCTTTCAACTGGTGGACTTGCCACATTTGGGTGACTTGTTTTCTGATGGTTGTGGTAATGATGGTGGCAGCGTTGACGGTGCAGGTGGGAACAGATGAAAAAGAAGGGTGATGATGTTGATTTTGATGATGGTGGTAAAAATGGTGATGATGGTGGTGTGATGATGGTGGTGGTGATGATGATAATGGTGATGATGATGGTGAAGATGGTGATAATGGTTATGATGGGGGTGGTGGTGGTGATGATGGTAGTGATGGTGATGATGATGGTGAAGATGGTGACGATGGTTGTGATGGGGGTGGTGGTGATGATGGTGAGGGTGTTGATAATGGTTGTGATGGGGGCGATGGTGATGATGATGGTGAAGATGGTGATGATGTGTTATGTTGGGAGTGATGGTGATGATGATGGTGATGATGATGGTGAAGATGGTGACGATGGTTATGTTGGGTGTGGTGGTGATGATGGTGGGGGGGTGATAATGGTTATGTTGGGGGTGATGGTGATGATGATGGTGAAGATGGTGATGATGGTTGTGATGTGGGTGGTGGTGATGATGGTGGCAGTGATGATGGTGAAGATGGTGATGATGGTTGTGATGTGGGTGGTGGTGGTGATGATGGTGGGGGTGGTGATTATGGTGACAGTGATGATGATGAAGATGGCACTGAAGCGGCTACTAAGGAACGCTTGGGTCCTAAGCATCCTGGAACATGACACATATTTTCTGTCCCAGTTGACCACGTTGTCCCTGAACCTGGGTCCAGCCTGCTGACGTCCTTTGAGAAATGGCATGAAGCAGCTGACACCAAATCCTGCTGCGATTACTCCCTACATGTGGACATCACGAGCTGGTACGATGGCGTCCGGGAGGAGCTGGAGGTGCTGGTGCAGGACAAAGGTCAGTGAGAGCTCCAGAGTGGGGCAGAGTTCTGGAATCCCTGGGTCGCTGGCAGATTCGCTCTGTGGTGCTAAAACTCTCCACATCTGCTCCCACCGCCTCCCCAGCCCCCGAGCTGAGCACTGCTGTCCTCTCCTCCTCAGTCCCTGTGGGGGCACCCCCTCGTTCACAGAAGAAACCAGCCTCCTCAGCCTGGCCCGCTAGGCCATGGCTGATCGAGCTCCACTTTTCTCTTTCTGCCTAAACCCCCGTGGCTGCTTGATATCCTGGATCCCATCCCCTGAGGCCTGCATGCCCCCGGGCCTCTGCACATGCTGTTTTCCCCGCCAGAAATGCGTCTTCTACTCTGCATCCCAAAGCCACCCTGCTGCCCTGCATCGTCTGCACTTTGCCCAGTCAGAGCTGCTGTCCCTTCACTATCATTCAGCTGACCCGGGCTCTTTGGGGCGCTTCTTGCCCTGACCCTGGGTTTCGGGGCACGGTGGTCTGGCTGGCTCTTCCAGCAAACCCTGAACTCTGTGAAGAAGGGGATCATTTCTGTATGTCTCCGGACCCCACTCCCCACCCCAGGCCCCCTCTGTGATGCCACCCGGAGCAGCCAGGGCGCCTCCTGCCCCGTCCGCGGCTGCGCCTCCAGGGCGGGTCGTGCTGGCACACGGCAGGCTCTCGGCCAGTGTTCGATGTGTGAGAAATAAATAGGACAAAGGCTTCTGGGGGCCGGTGTGTTTGGGACACGCGCCTTTTTCCTTCTCTTCCTGAGTGTTAACACACACCCGTGGGCAGGGCCGGGAGAAGCCCCGCGGCCCGGAGTCCTGCGGCCGAGCGTCCAGTCCTGCGGCCTCACAGGCGGAGGCCCTGGCGCCGATGCCAGCAGCAGGTGCGGCGGGGCCGGCTTCGGCCCAGTGAAACCTGTGACAGGGATGCGTGTCCCGGCCCCATGCGGTCGACTGCCCTTGCTCATCCGCATCGCTCCCTCTGGCCGGCCCTGGCCCCCGGCTCACCCTGAACCCGCGTCTGTCCTCCAGGCCCCAGGGTGGCCCCTGACAGTGCGTCCTCCATGCACAAGCTGTTTCCAGACCCGCTCGCGCCCCTTTGGCGTCGCTGTGTCAGTTCCCAATCGCTGTGGGCCCCCAGCCCTGGACAAACCCTCTGGGGTCCTGGGTCCCCTGGTGTAAGGTGGCTGCTTCCAAGGTTGTTGGGGGTCGTGGGGGGCTAGGTGCTGGAGAAATAAGAAAATTCTAGAACATAAAGGCATTATGAATGGTTGGCAATCCAGTAGGTATTCAACACATCCTTTAAAACTGGGACCTCCTTGGAAAAAAATTCCTGCTGGTATTTGTGAATTTAGGAGGTTTTGCTCATGTTGGGGTGACCGTGTGTCCTGAGGCCCTGGCTTGGGGTGGAGACACCAGCCCAAAGGTAACGCTTCACCTGTGCCGCATGTCGCTGAGCAGCCCCTGCGCAGGTGCAAGCTGCTGTGCCATGTCAGGGGACTCACCTGTGCCATTCAGATGTGACGTAACACAAGGCTCTAAATTTGAATTACTTCGATTACAAATAAGACCAAGTCTTCTTCTTATCTCTGTAAACCACTTTTTCCTCAATTTCCTAAAAATACTGTTTGCCTTTGCTGTTTTTGCTTCTTTGCTTTTATTTTGTTCTTTTTTTTTAAACATGAGATGGATTCAGTAACCCACACAAGCCGCGAGCGTCGCTTTATGGATTATTATTCGGCGGCTCCGCGCGCGCGGGCAGGAGATGACGGCTGGCGGCGGCCCTGACGGGCAGTTCCGCTCCGGCCACACCCCAGGCCGGGCAGGTGCCCCGCGTGGGTCCCGAGGGGTCACTGTCCTGTGTTTCCTGGAAGCACGTGCTTCTTTTTCCTTAAATGCCATTTTCTGTTCTCTTGTTTGTCTTGAAACAGGCGTCAATTCCTTCCAAGTCTACATGGCCTACAAGGACCTCTACCAGATGTCTGATAGCCAGGTGGGTCCCGCGCGCTTGCTGCCCGCCCGCCCGGGCCAGAGGGGCTGGCTTGCCAGCAAGGCAGCCCGGGAAGGACGGCAGGACCCAAGGGTAACCCTGTTCCGGAAGGGCCTGTGGACGCAGCAGCCCCGAGGGCCGGGGGGTTGCTGGTGGGGGTGGGAGTGCTGGCTGTGGGGCTGGCTGTGGGGCTGGCTGTGGGAGCAGAGGTCTTTGACCCTCCCTGTCTCCCCCTCAGCTCTACGAGGCCTTCACCTTCCTCAAGGGGTTGGGAGCTGTGATCTTGGTCCATGCGGAAAACGGAGATTTGATAGCTCAGGTGAGTGGTGTGCGGGCGCCGGGGGCCCCTGAGAGCTGCCGTGATGGGTGAGGGCTCCGAGGAGAGCCCACACGGCCGTGAGGAGCGGGGCTAGGGGCGCAGGGCCCCACCGGCAGCACCCCACTTCTTGGATCTCAGTTTCTGCGCTGCACAGTGGGGGTGACAGTTTCATCTCCAGTGGGTGGGCATCTGGGTGGCTTCAAATCTGGGACTACTGTGGGAAGCCCCCAGAACATTCGTGTCTGGGCCTGGGTTGGATGCGGGTGGTCATCGCCATCGGTGTGGACCAGGAGGTGCCGGCACGCGTGCCAGCGTCACAGCTTTCTCGGCCGCAACACACCTGCTCCCCCTTGGGACCGGCCCCAGCTCCCGGGCTATTCTGCTGCCGGCGCCGTCCTGCTCTCTCTTGCCTCCTTTGCTGCACCGCGGGGCCTTCAGAGGGGGCGGAAATAACCCGCTTGCGCAGCCCACGACCTTTAACCCACCCCGGACCCCGGGCTTGTGGGAACGCGCCTCCTCCCACGATGTCGCCTTCGCCCTCCCCCCTCGCTCCGCCCGTCCCTGCTTCCTCCGGGCAGGAAGAGCAGCTCAGGCCTGGGCCAGCCGCGCGGCACCTCCGTGTGGACGGCGTGGAGAGCGGAACCCCTCTCCAGCTGTTTGACCTTGGGGTGACGTCCAGCTCAGGCTCCTGCCACGAGCTCGCGCTGAATGGCCGGCGCCGCGCAGCTGAGACCGGGGTTTCTCCTCATGGTTGACGGGCCCGGGGCTCCGCGCGGAGACGCGTCCCGGGTGGCAATAAAGGCTCCACGCGAGTTAAAGTTAGCGGCAGCCCAGCTGTCATCTGGGCGAGGCACAAATTAAAAAACATTTTTTTTGAGAAATGAAAGTGTTGGCAGGGCAGGAAGGGGCGGGCGCCTGCGAGCCTGGGCCACGAGCTCGGGGAGCCATTTCAGGGCTGGGGAGAGGCCGGGAGGGTTTCCGGAGAAGCAGCGGCTGGGAGAGGAGACGGTCGGGAGGCTCCAGCTGCCTGAGAGGGCCGGCCCGGGGCGGCTCCCCCCCACCTGGGGTGGGGACGCGGGAGGCAGACTCTGCTGTCCCGTCGTGTAGACGACAAGACGAGGCCGGAGAGCGTGGCCGCCTGCCCGGAGCCCCGGGGTGATGACCCGAGCTGGACGCCGGGCCCGGGGCTCTTGAGTCCCTCAGCCGTTCACACCAGGCGTCCCCTTCTTCGTCCCTCTGGCCCTGCAGCCTGGGCTTGGGGAGGAGTGAGAGGTGGGGGGTCCTGGAGACCCATTTCCTGTCCCCAGGCTCCCTGTCCCTGTGCCCGAGGGAGGGAGTGGAGAGCGGGTGTGAGTGTGGACGCAGCGCTGCCAGGGGTGGGGGTGACAGAGGGATGAGGGGACCGGCCCGTTCCTGGCCCACTGTGAGGACTCAGGGGAACCGTCCGCCTCCCGACCTCGGCCGCCCGCCCTGCGCGGCCCCTGGTGAAGGCTCCACCTTGCCCCGACGGCTCAAGCGCTGACGCAGCTGCCCCTGCCTCACAGGAACAGAAGCGGATCCTGGAGATGGGCATCACGGGCCCCGAGGGCCATGCGCTGAGCAGGCCCGAGGAGGTAAGGACCCTTCCTGGTGCGACACCCCTGGGCAGTCACCGTGACAGGACAGCTCAGCTGCGGCCCCCGGCTCCGTCCCGGCACAGCCCGATTGACCCTCCAGCTGGGAGTCCGGGGCTGCAGCCAGAGGAGCCCTGGAAAGGCTCAGTTTCCCTGGGGCCGGGGCATGGCCCAAGGCCCGTGGGCGGTGGGGTGTCCAGGCCGATAGGACCCCTCCGGGGCTTGGTGTGCTTGGTGCCGAGCCTGGAGCCGCAGGCCCCTGACCCGGCACCACAGAGCAGCTGCCCCCACGCTGAGCAGTGACCCTGCGCCCAAGTGTGGGTGGATCCCGCGCGGGAGGGCATGTGCATGCGTGTGCCTGTGTGTGCACACGTGTGTGCCTGCGCCTTTGACACCTGATTCCACCCACTGCCGCCCCCGCGGGGTCCCGAGCAGCTGGCGGAACCCCAGCCCTGCCTTCAGCCCTCCAGCTAGACACGTCCTGACCCCTGTTCTCTCGCTTGGGCCTGCGCCATTCTCCTCCTTTGGGAGAGTGGGTTTCCCTCCTGACCACACTCCCCTGGCGAGATGGGGTGCTGGTGGCGGGCGCCCCAGGAACTTGGGCTGCTGCTGTCTCCCCCTCCCTCCCCTGACCCGTGTCTGCGTGTCCACAGCTGGAGGCCGAGGCCGTGTTCCGGGCCATCACCATCGCCGGCCGCATCAACTGCCCCGTGTACATCACCAAGGTGATGAGCAAGAGCGCGGCCGACATCATCACTCTGGCCAGGAAGAAAGGTGGGCGGCCGGCCTGGCCCCAAGGGGGTGTCCGGCGGGCTCAGGGCCGCCCTGGAGTCCTGTCGGGGGCAGAGGCCCTCTGCCTGGGCAGCCGTCCGGGTCTGGCGTGTCCTACACCCTTCGGAAGGAAAGGGCGGGTGGTGGTGTAGACACGGGGTGTGCACGCCTCACAGGTGTGATTCCTGGGGTGCTGTGGTCAGCTGTGAGTGGGGGAGGCCATGGCAGCCTCAGTCTCCTTGTCTCCTCCTCATTTCCCCAGCGCATGGGTCAAATGAGATGGTGGGTCTCAGGAGGGCCCAGGCGCTCGGCTTCCCTCCCGGGGCTCACACAGCTGTGAGGGCATCCTTGGCCACGGGTCCCTGACCCTGCCTGCCCCCTCCGGGGTCCACCCTGGGGGCTCATCCTAGGCCCTTGTGTGGGGCCGCAGGTGGGCCAGAGTCTCAGCTGTGGGCTGGGAGGGGAAGAGTCTCCGGCGCCAGAGGGCCTGGGGCAGCCCTGCGCGGGGCGCGGATGGCCGGGAGCCGCAGCGCCTCACCGCCGAGCAGCCCGTGAGCTGACGGCCATGTGGTGCTGGCAGAGGCCCGGGCCGTGGCGGCCGGCGCTGTGCCCTCGGCAGGTCTCCATCCCTGCCTGCGGAGCCTCCCTGTCGGGGGGGCCGGTCTCAGCTCTGCCTCTGAGGTGCTCTTGGCGAGCCACAGTCCTCCGGGGACGTCGGCCGTTAACTGCTGTCTGCCCCCAGGCCCCCTCGTGTTCGGCGAGCCCATCGCCGCCAGCCTGGGCACGGATGGCACCCATTACTGGAGCAAGAACTGGGCCAAAGCAGCGGCCTTTGTGACCTCCCCACCTCTGAGCCCGGACCCCACCACCCCGGACTACCTGACCTCTCTGCTGGCCTGGTGAGCGCGGGCCGGGCCTCCAGGTGCCCTTCGGGGCACAGGGTGACAAGGCGGGACTCCGGGGAGCCTGTGCGGGTGCCCTGGGAGCACCTGCTGTTTCTTCTTTTCTTTAAACATTGAGATACAATCCACACACCATACATTTCACCAGGCCCTCGGGGTTATTTTATTTTTTTTGAAATTTATTATATGTATTTATGCACACAAGACCTGGCGTGCAGGCCAGAGGTTCGGGGGGTGAGAGGGCGCCCCAGAGACAGAGCGGGGAGCAGAACAGGCGGATCCACTGAAACCCACTGCTGAGGGGAGCAGCGGAGAGACAGGAGAGGTCTGCTGCGCCCTGTGGGTCAGCTCCCTGGCCGGGGATTGAACTCGTGCTGCCGATAGCTTCACAGTGCTGAGACCCAACCCCTGCGTCACCAGGGAGGCCTCCAGACTCTCAGTTTTTAAGAGAAGAGGTAGAAGGTGGAGGGAGTGGGTGCCGCCAGCATGTGCTGCTGTGTGCTGGGCGGGTGCCGTGTCCAGCGTCACAGCCCCCATGACAGCCTGGATGTGGGGTTCTGCTCTCCAGGCGGCCGAACCAGGCTTTGGAGGCAGCAGGCCTGCTGGCCTGGGGTCAGATTGCATCACACAGGGTGGTCGGGGCTCTAGCGAGGGCCTCACCACCCGAGTGTCTAGCACCTCTGCCCCAGCTCCCTTGGGCACAGACTGAGAGCCCCGTCCTGCAGCACCCGGGGCTCGCAGCCTCCCAGGAGGTGGAGGAGCAGACCCACGGCCCCAGCAGAGCAGGGTAGCCCAGTGCCTCCGCGGTCAGGGGGCCTCTCTTCCAGGGCAGGCAGGGAGGCCGCTGGGACCCTTCCAGCCAACCCTGCACCCTCGCCGACACAGCACTTTCTCCCGATGCCCGCGGCTCCTTCCAACTACAACAGGACGCCAAGGGCCAAAGGGCCTTCCAGCTTCACTCACTAACACCCATGTGTGCCCCACAATCTCTAGGGTTTCCGGGCTCTGAATTGGGGGTTTGCCTTTCAATGAACTCGGGACTGAACCTGCTTTGTTTTCATCCTTGCCAGTGGAGACCTGCAGGTCACGGGCAGCGGCCACTGTCCTTACAGCACTGCCCAGAAGGCCGTGGGCAAGGATAACTTCACTCTGATCCCGGAGGGAGTCAACGGGATCGAGGAGCGCATGACCGTCGTGTGGGACAAGGCGGTGGTAAGGCCGCACCCGTCCCCTGTGGAACATTCTAGAAGCAGCCACCTGGGCCATTGAAGCCAGCACTGCTGGTTCTTAAGTCTCCAGCCTTTCTTGGCGGGGACACCCGTTGCCCCGGAGGATGCAGCTCATGTCCCGGGCCCCCTGCTCCGTGGACGTGACGGTCGCCTGTGCTGAACCGCATTTAGTTCATGTAAAGACAACCCATGTATGGGCGTGTGCTTGTGTGTCCACCACACACATGTGCACGGTGCATGCAGCTGGGGTCGGGGCACAGTGGATCCTTCTTGCCTGGGGCGCCCCCGAGCTCTGGGGCCGAACTGAAACCTCAGGCTTTTACCTGTCCCTCTGGGCCAGGTGTCCCCAGGCTGTGTCCATCCCACCCCTCTGGGCGCTAGATGTCGCTGCTGAGCCCAGCCCTGTGCTGGGGTCCCCGCTTCAGCTGGAGACACAGCCCCGCCCCAGGAAGGACTGCGGCTCAGCCCCCCCCCTCCCCGGGATGCCCCCTCACCGCCGGCTCTTCCTGCAGGCCACTGGCAAGATGGACGAGAACCAGTTTGTGGCCGTCACCAGCACCAACGCGGCCAAGATCTTTAACCTGTACCCCAGAAAGGGGCGGGTGGCCGTGGGCTCGGACGCCGACGTGGTCATCTGGGACCCCGACAAGGCGAAGACCATCTCCGCCAAGAGCCACAAGTCGGTAAGTCCGGGGCGCTGCCCTCCTGGGGGGGTGTGTGTGTCTTGCTTTGGGGTCATTTCAAAGCCTCAGAACAGGTCATCACACCCGCCGCACCCGAGCTGAGGTCGCGCCGGCTCACTCAGATTTCTCCTGCAGCCGAGGACTGAGGTCTGAGCAGCTGCTGCGCCCTTCAGTGCCCCCCCCTTGCCACCCCCTTCTCAGCCACCTGGGGCTGCTCTAGCTCCTCTCATGACTCCAGGCCGCCGCCCCCAGCCCAGACTGGGGACAGTTTAGGGCCACGTTCTTTCTCCAGGTGAATCCTAAAGCCGGGAGGGTCCCATGGCCGGGCAGGGGAGGTGGGGCCTGCAGCTGGGGCGCCCTCTGCCGAGGCCAGGCCTGCCCAGCTGGCGGCAGGGTCCCCCCTCCTACTCTCACGAACCTGCTGGGGGCCGGAGCGGGGAGACCTGCTTCCTCCCCAGGCCGGCTCGCCCCTGTGCCCGGCGGGCAGAGACCTTGGTTCCAGACCTGTCCCCCTCGGGAGGCTCGAAGCCCACACCCCCACTGGGCAGCCTGGGGGGCAGTGAGCACCCAGCACCCCCAGTGTGGGGAGCCTCTTCTCAGCCCGCCGGCAAGACGGCGGTGGGGGGGAAATAAACAGCGCCCAGCCCGGGTGCTCAGGGCATCGTTTAGATACAGAACGCCGGGAGCCGGCTTGAGCCGTGTGCAGACGCGGCGCTCACGGGAGGCCTGGCCTCGCGCTCGGACAAACGTGGACACCGCGCAAGCCCTCTCCCGCCAGTGACCCGCAGTGGCCGCTGGGCGCAGGCCAGGCTCGGGGTCCCCCGCTGGGCGCAGGCCAGGCTCGGGGCTGCCCTACTGGGTGCAGGCCAGGCTCGGGGCTGCCCCGCTGGGTGCAGGCCAGGCTCGGGGTCCCTGGACACAGGCAAGACTTGGGGTTCCCCCCGCTGGGCGCAGACCAGGCTCGGGGCTCCCCCGCTGGGCGCAGGCCAGCCTTGGGGTCGATTGGGCTGGGCAGGCGCCCCCTCGTGGCGGGTGGGGCTGCTGACGCCATGCCCGGGGGTGACGCCAACGGGGTACAGGGCGAGGCTGTCGCGGGGCTGGACGCGGTGGGCTGTCAGCCCGGGCAGGCGCCGACCCTGCGGGACAACAGGCCAGGGCTTCCCCGGGGCGCAGCGCGCTGCAGCGCTTTAAAGAACGCCCCGGACCTGAGCGCCTCGGGCCAGGGGCGCGCTGGGGGGTCTGGGGGAGCGCTGGGCTCAGAGGACCCTCCGGGCGCTGGCTCCAGCGAGGGAGGAGGGAGTCCCGCCTCCCTGACCCATTTTTGCTCTTTTTATTCTTCTGTTTCTATTTATTCCCCCCCCCCACCGGCCGTCCCTTGCCCCCTGACCTTTCTCCCTCCACCCTCTCGCCCCAGGACCCCAGCTGGCCGGCGGGCCCACTGGCTCTCGCTCCCAGGCGCCGGTGCTTGCGGCTGTCTCCACGGCCCGCGGCCCCGAGCTCCCCCGCGGGGCCTTCTCCTCCCCTGGCAGCTGGTCGCGGCCGCTGGCGCCCGGGGCTCCCCCAGCCAGCCCTCTCCGGGGCGCCCTGAGACGCTGCCCCGGGCTGGGCCCTGAGGCCGCAGTGGACACGGCGCGTCATTTGTCAAGTCCGTGCTCTGTGCTTCCCGGGGTGCCCGAGCAGGCGGCTGGGTCGCGTGGTGCTTCCTTGTTTAGTGCCTGCACTTAGAGATTGGCTTCCTTTTAATGTAAGATTTTTGTCCTTTGGAATTTTTTACTTTGTTACTATAGATACAACCTACTTTCTAAATAAAACAAGCAGGTGGCTAGTGGCAGCTGTGTTCACTTTAGGAATAATGAGAGGAATGTGTATTTTTTTTTTAAAGATTATTTATTTATTTGTTTATTTATACAAGCACTGGGCATAGTCAGAAGCGCGGGAGGGTGAGAGAATTCACCAGAGCCAGAGTGGGGAGCAGAGCAGGCAGAAGGACCGAAGGACACTGCTGAGGGGAGCAGCAGGCGGCAGGAGAGGTCTGCGCACCATGAGGGACCCTCCTCCGGTGGCCGGGGAGCAGCCGGGGATCGAACCGGCGCCGCACAGGCTGCGGGCAGCTTCGCAACCCAGCGCTCAACCGCTGCGCCACAGGGGAGGCCCAGGAATGTGTATTTTTAAGGAAATATTTTGTCTTTCAAATTAGTAAAACAACTCAAAAAGAAAGAAAGAAAGAAAGAAAGAGGACCTTAGTGCAGGAGGGGATTTCCTAGATGTGAAATCTTATCTCCTTTGACCCAGTAATTTAAAAAATCTACACGGGCCTCTCCGGTGGCGCAGCGGGTGGAGCGCTGTGCTGTGAAGCTGTCTGCAGCCTCTGCAGCACGAGTTCCATCCCTGGCCGGCTGGGGAGAGGCCCACATGGCACGTCAGACCTCGCCCGCCTCATCCGCTGCTCCCCTCTGCAGTGTCTTCTGTCCATCTGCCTGTTCTCCCCACTCTGTCTCTGGTGAATTCTCTCACCCTCCCGCACCTCTGACCTGTACCCTAGTTCTTGTATAAATAAATAAATCCTTAAGAAAAATAAGGAAATATGTTTTAAAAAAAAACTACAGACACAAAAATGGCCACTAGAGTTTGCACCGTATTGCATAATACCAGGGGTCCCCACTCACAATGCCCCCAGCAATAGTAGTCTGATTATGTAAAACCTCCTGTCCTGAAAGAAGGCCCTACAGTGAGAAGGGTTGGTTATGCAAATGATAGAGCCTATCGTGGAATATTATGCAGCCCCGAAGAAGGTGATTTCAGAGAGCAAAGGCAAAGGAAGTGCTCTGATAGGAGGGGAAGCAGGACCCCTGGTGGGAATAGCTGGGCCTGTGGACTCAGGCTCAGCCCTGCTCTTGCCCTGCAGGCTGTGGAGTACAACATCTTTGAAGGCATGGAGTGCCACGGCTCCCCGCTGGTGGTCATCAGCCAGGGCAAGATCGTCTTTGAGGATGGCAACATCAACGTCAACAAGGGCATGGGCCGCTTCATCCCCAGGAAGCCCTTCCCCGAACACCTCTACCAGCGCGTCAGGATCCGGAACAAGGTGTGCGGGCGCCGGCTGTCGTGGGCAGTGTCCCGGGCAGTGTCCCAGCCACGCCAGCCGCTCTCTTTATGTGTCAGATGAACTGTGACACTGCCCTGCCTCTGTCTTGGGGTGGGAGTGAGAACCGGGCTACACCATGGGGTCCCAGGGCTTGGCCAACTGTAAGAGGGTGTGCACATGTTGGGTGGGCTGCACGTGCTGGGGTCACGGTGACCTTGCCACTCCCAGGTGCATGTCTTGTATCACCCCCAGCCCGTATTTGAGGGGTCATGACTCTTTCCTGCAGACAGAACCCCGGTGCTTGTGCAGTTAGGGCTTCACACCGTCGCAGTGCAGGGGGGGCTCAGAACCTGTCTTGTGCTGTGGGTCAGAGTGATCCCCCTGGCACCCAGAGCACAGTGGGGTGCAGACAGGCTCCCTTCTTCTGCCCTCTCTCCTCCCTCCCCCTTCCATTGCATCATGGTTCCCTCTTTCCTTGAAGAGTCTTAGTCCCTGAAGCTTCTCTCTGCACGTGGGCCCCCCGCACCTGTCCTGGGGCAGATGCCCCCCCTTCACCTCTGAGCTCACCTGCCGAGCAGCAGGGGTTCCAGTAGGCACACAGCCCCTACCGCCCACCCCTGTGACATTCAGCGTCTCTCCCTCCTGGCTTCTCTCCTGGGGCGCCCCCCACCCCGAGGGACTGAGCACCACCTTGGCCCCACCCTCCCCTGCTCACCCCGTCTACGCCCCAATCTCCTCCAGCTGCTGGCTTCAGAGGTGGCCCACTCACTCCCCTCCCCTCCTCTCTCTGGAATCATCCAAACCAGCTACCCGCCCCCAAACCCTTGTCTCCCATCAGCTTCTGCGAGACCCAAGCTCAGCCCTGTTACGTCCCAGACTCGCTAGGGCTTGGGAGGGGTGAGGGGCTTGGCAGGGGAGGCATTTCGTGCCTGGGGTGGCTTTGGGATCCAGCCCCCTGGAACCCTGTGCGTGTGCGCGTGTGTGTGTACGTGTGTATGTGAGTCCCACAGAGACGTCCACCCCCCTGGGGGCCAGTGTGGGGTCTTGCCGGCCGGTCACCACCGCCTCTGTTTAGGTCCACGGACTGCAAGGCGTGCCGAGGGGCATGTACGACGGCCCGGTGTACGAGGTGCCAGCCACACCCAAATATGCAACTCCTGCTCCTTCAGCCAAATCCTCACCTTCCAAACACCAGCCTCCACCCATCAGAAACCTCCACCAGTCCAACTTCAGCTTGTCGGGTGAGCGCAGTGGGCCCCCCTGCTCTTGCCCCAGCGGTCGCCCTCTGAAGCAGCCCGAAGCCTCAGGCACCCGATGAGGAAGCCGAGAGGCCCCTCGGGAGACCCTCCCTCCAGGGGCCGGCCTCCTGGCGGGGGGCTCGGGCAGAGGGGCTGCTCCACGCTGCGGCACTGCGTGGAGATGCCTGTACCCGGCCGAGGGCCAGCCTGGGTGGGGCACGTTCACCCCTGGCCAGCGGGGAGGGAGGCATGCATGTGGCGGGGCGGAGGCCTGGCCCTCCTGCCGGGCCCTCCTGCCTGGCCTTCCTACCTGGCCCTCCTGCCTGGCCCTCCTGCCTGGCCCTCCTACCTGGCCCTCCTGCCAGGCCCTCCTGCCTGGCCCTCCCGCCGGGCCGGTGCTGTGCTGCAGGCACCTAGTAGCGCACGCGTCCCTCCCTTGTGCTCAGCGGCCGTGCGTGCGGGCTGGTGTTATTCCTATTCCTGTAAGGAGGAAGTTCAGTGCCACAACACAACACAGGCCGCGGTGCTCAACAAAGGTGTGGGCCCCCACAGCAGCCAACCCGGCCCCTCACTCCCCACCGCCCCGACGCCTGTCTGCACTTCCACTAGGCGGCCGCACGGGGGTGGCCACGCGCACGCTGGCGAGGTTGACCCGCTCCGGGCCGTGCTAACTGCTAGGAGAGCTGCGGGATTGCTTGCTGGGTGCAGGCCTCCGCCTCTCCGGGGTCGGAAAGGGCCTGGTACTAAATAGTTTAGGCTTCGTGAACCAGGTGGCAAAAGCCAGAGCGTTTCAATAGGCATTTAACATGCAGCGCCGCGGGCGCTGGCCCTGTGCAGCGGGACTGAAGGGCGCTGGCAGAAGGCGGGCCGTGCTTAGCAGAAGAGGCCGGGGCAGAGGAAGCGAGAAGACAAGAATGCATTTGAGCCTGGTACATTTGGGCTTCATAGACCGGATTGCCCATTCAGGGGCACCTGTCTCAGCAGTTACGCACTGGGGGACACAAGTGGGGTCCCCAGTGCAGTCCATTTCGCCCCACGAGCTCCGTGGAAGAGCTCCAGGCACGCCAGGCCTGAGCAGCCTTTGTGCACAGGGCTCTCCGGCGTGAGCCAGGCATCCGGATGGTCTGGGAAGGCCTGTGCAAGGCGACTGTAGACGTGGCGGGGGCGCGGGGGAGCGCCTGGCCCTCAGGGCCAGAGGGTAGAACTGGCGTCCACAGGCCTGTGCCCAAGTGACCACCTCTGTCTCTTCCAGGTGCTCAAATAGATGACAACAACCCCCGGCGCACCGGCCACCGCATCGTGGCGCCCCCTGGCGGCCGCTCCAACATCACCAGCCTGGGGTGAAGGCGCCGGGCCCAGCTGGATGCCCGACTGGGGGATGCCGTCCATTCCTTCCCCGTGGTGTTTTGAGCCCGCAGTTTTCTTTGGTACTGACGGAGGGGAAAATCGAATGATGTTCTTTCCTTTCTCTGTGTAGGAAGAAGTGGTTCTAGTGTGGTGTGTTTGCTTGGAAATTCCTCGCCCCGCAGTTGTGTGTTCATGCGAAGCCGTCTCCGAGCACGGTGTCGCGTCCCCTCCTTAGTGAGCACAGGTTCTAGCAGCGTCTTGTACCGTCCCCCGCTCTGCCTCACTGGCTCCGCGATTCTCCGAGTGGTTCCTTTGCCCCCTCGTAGCTGTTTAGGGTAGTTGATGCATGTTATAAATTATGTATGCAAGTCTGAGTGCGTCCGACGAGACTCCTCCGAGGACTGATGGAGACACGATGGAGACCTCCAGCCCTTGGCCGGTTCCAGAAAGCTCCACCCGGGGATGTTTCCTCTTGCCCCACCCGAGTCTACACTGGAAACACCTGCCCCTCGCCATCCTCCCCGAGGCCTGGGAATGCCCAGGGAGGCAGGAGCCGCCCGCTCGCCGAGCAGCACCCCGTGCCCGCGTCGGGAACCCCGGGCTCCGTGGCTCCCGCACCTCGCCATGACGTCTTCGGTCTGTGTGTGTCCTCCCAGCAGCCCTGGACTTCAGGCCAAGCCAGCGTCGTGCGCGGAGCGGGGCCTCCGATCCCCATTTGGGCTGTGGTGGGGGCGGGGGCTCCCCCAGTTGCCGACTCCTGGTCCCTCCGAGGCGGTTGACGGGGCAGTCAGATTTTTAAAGTTTTGTACAAAGTTTTCCTTTGTAATCACCCCCATTTTTACTTAACAACTGACTTATCGTGGCTCTTATTTCTGAACTCAAAGCTTGTGAAAAAATAAAAGAAACAACTCACTGGCTGGCTGGAGTGTTTTCAATTAAGCAGTGGCCCCCGGTTGCCTGCAGATGGTAGCTAGTAACCTTAATAACTGGCGGGGTGCTTGTTTCTGAAGGACACCTGCTTTATAGACCGTGGGGGGCTAGAGGTGGGGGGAGGGCGTGTTAGGCCTCGGGCCCTGAGGCCAGGGAGGGAAAGAGGCTGGCGCCGCCAGGTGGGGATTATGGTGATGATGATGGCGCAGGTGCCCGGGCCGAGAGGGAGGAACGGGCTGGTTCCCGCTTCATGAGCCCTAGAGGGGCTCTAACTCGAAGGCCACGCAGAGAGAGGCAGGACCAGGAGCCCACCCAGTTGGGCCGAGAGCGCCAGGTTCCTTGCTGTGACCTGCCAGGCAGGGCGGCCCTGCAGGGTCCACCATCTCCTTGTGGCTTTCGTGACACCCCCCGCCCCATCTCTCTTGAGGTCCAAAGAAGTGAGACCTCAGGGCTTTATGGACTTTCCCAAAACATGGCTGATGCTGAGAAAGGTCAAGAATGGAGGGCAAGTGGGCCTCCCTCATGGCGCAGAGGTTAAAGACAGCGCTGCCAAGCTATTGCCAGCCTCCAGCACAAGTTCGATCCCCAGCGCAACCCACAGGGTGCAGACCTCTCCTGTCTCCCCACTGCTGCTCCCCTCAGCAGTGTACTTCAGTAGATCTACCTGTTCTGCTCCCCACTCTGTCTCTGGTGACTCCTCCTACCCCTGCACCTCCGGCCTACACTGCAGTTCTTGTATGCAGAAATAAATAAATCTTTAAAAAAAAGAAGGGCAGGGGCCTCCCTGGTGGTGCAGCGGTTGAGCGCTGTGTTGCGAAGCTGCCCGCAGCCTCTGCAGCGCCGGTTCGATCCCCGGCTGCTCCCCGGCCACCGCAGGAGGGTCCCGCATGGCACGCAGACCTCTCCTGCCGCCCGCTGCTCCCCTCAGCAGTGTCCTTCGGTCCTTCTGCCTGCTCTGCTCCCCGCTCTGGCTCTGGTGAATTCCCTCACCCTCCCGCGCTTCTGACTGTACCCAGTGCTTGTATAAATAAATAAATAAATCTTAAAAAAGAAAAAAAGAATGGCGGGCAAAGGGCTTCTGGTGGTGGGCCTGGTCACTCGGTCTATAAAAGGGCACCACAGAGACTCCCAGAGGCGTGGGAAGCTACTACCTGCTCTCTGGCAAGGCTTTCCTCTCCTTCACCGAGCCATCAGGGACGGAGGCTGGAGTCCTAACATCCCTCCTCTGGGGCCACCGGCCAGGCCCTTGCCTGGACCCGGGTCAGGGCCGCTGCCCCTCTGGCACCACCTGCTGAGGCTGCCCTCTGACCTTAGGCCCCAGGACCTCGTGGGGGGGGCATCTTAACACTCGAGCTGGGCTGCAACATTCCTCTCACAGGTGCCTGCCTTTATCTCCTCGCGACACGTGACCAAACAGGTGTTTTCTATGCAAGTCAAATGCGCAGTAACCAGGAAGGCCTGGACACAGGAAAGCGCTTTACAGAGAATGAAATACTTTATTTTACCACCAGGGGGCGCCCCGAGCTCCCGCTGGACCCTGGGGCCTGGGCGGGCAGGAGGGGTGCTAAGAGGCCGCTGCTGGGGTGTCCTCCGTGCAGGAGCCACTGCTTCCCAACAGGCAGCCTCACTTGGGTTTTAAGAAACAGCCTGAGCTACCAGCGGACCAAGCCCCCCAGACAGGCTCCTGCAGCCCTGGGTCCGTCTCCTGGGCCCGCGTGGCCACGGTCACCCCAGGGCGCGCCCGGCCCGCACACTGTGCCTCGGGGGCAGCTGGCGACACGCCGGGGTCAGGGCTGGCAGCAGAGGGCAGCTGCCAAAGAATCCCACGCAGTGTCCACAGGGCCGAGGCTGGGAATCCCGACTCCCGTGGCAGGAGCGATTTTCTCGCCGAGTAGTAAGAGGGTCTGAAGCTTCTGGACACTCCGGCCGTGCGCTGGGGGAAGCGTGGCCCTGGGGTCTTCCCCGCTGGGGGCCTGCCTGGCCGAGGGGCCACTCCCGAGAAGGCCGGAGCGGGCAGGGCCGCCTCCAGGCCTCCAGCTGCAGCCCCGCAGCGCGGGCGTCACCTCAGCTCCCTCTCCCGTGGACCCCGCGCTTGCTGCGGCGGGCGGCGATCGTGCCCAGCAGTCACGGGCGCCGTTTTCCCAGCAGGGCTCGCTCCTGTTTCCTTGCCGTGTGGCTGCCGCTGCCCCACGGGCCGGCGCTCGGGCGCTGAGAGGCGCAGACACAGCCGGTTTCTGCACCAGGAGCGCGAGTGCCCCTGCCTCGCTTTGTCGGGTGCTGGGACCCACACCTAAGACGGCTCCGGGCGCCTGCACGTAGGCGGCCCTCAGACCCCAGGATGGTGAGGCCCGCCCTGGGCCAGGCCGCTGCTGGCTGAGTCCAGGGATGGGAAAGGCCAAGATGGGCCGGGCCTGTGAGGACATGGCTGGGGGGCGCGGGGCAGGCCGAGGAGGGGCTGGGGGAGTGGCAGAGCCGAGGCCTTGGCCCAGGCCAGGAGCCCAGCAGGGTTCAGAGGCTGCCGAGCCCGGAAGCAAAGCAACTGCCACTCAGGAAGCAGGTTGGGGGGCGTCAGGACTCGGGGCAGGGGCACAAGGGGCCGGGAGGAAGAGCTGCAGGAGGTGTGAAGCCACGTCTTGAATTCAAGAGACCCAGCCCTGGGCACTCGGCCTCAGGCAGTAGCCAACCCGGTCATCTAGGCTTCCCTCTGGCACTTTCCAACCTCTCTCCACCCCCACGAGCCTGTGAGGCGGGCGGAGGCCCGAGTCCAGTACCCCCGGAGGCGGCAGGTCCTGCTGGTGCAGCGGGCAGGCAGGCCCGGTGCCGACCGGCCCTAACCTACAAGTTGCTTCTTTTCTTCAGCATCTTCTTGGGCTTCTCGCTGCCGCTGGCCTCGCTGTCCGGCTGGCCGGGCCTTTTGCTGCTGAAAGCGAGGGAGAAGGCAGCGGCTCAGAACTGGGTCCATGTGCCCAATGCGGGGGCTCGCGATGGGCCATTGGGAGTGAGCGCCTGCTCAGATGACCCGGGGAGACCCACAGCAAACCCCAAAGCATGTGGCCAGCAGCCAGTCAGGGCAGGAGGCTACTCGGGCTGGGCAATGGCGGGACGGGAGCTCCCGGGACACTAACGGCAGCCAAGCTGGAGACGGGGGTTTCCCATCAGCTCTCAGGCCCTCGGGTTCCCCCTCACAAGGGGTTGACTTTCCCGCCGGGTCTCCGCCACACGAGGACATGCACCCTCAGGCCACGAGCAGGGGCGCTGCCGTACCTGAGCGATCCTGAGGGGTGGGGCCCCGAGGCGGGGTCTTCGTCGTCCGGCCCCCTGGGGTCACCTCTCTCCCGGGGCGGGGCTTTCTTTCTTTTGGGCCTTAGGGACTTCTCTGCAGAAGACACAGGTTCATGCAACGCGCGGACGTTTCTGGGGTACCTCTGGGCCCGTGTGTGTCTGGTTCCCCCACTGTCCTACCCATTTAACTAGGAACGAGACTGAGGCCGGGGAGGGAGGCGCCTGCCCTGCCCGCGCAGCCGTAAGCAGCAGAGCTGGGGTTTGAACTGGGTCCATCAGGCTCCCCCGCGTTTCCACCGGCTGCCTCTGGGACTGGGAACACGGCCCGGGCACTGCCGCGTCCTCGGAGGACCGCGTGCTCCACCCGTCCCAGCCCGCCCGCAGCGGCCACTGCCCCGCGAGGCCACGAGGGGGCGGGCAGGCCCACCTGACGTGTAATTTGCATAAAGGCCCACCTTACAGGTGGGGAAAAGGTCAGCGAAGAGGACACAGCAGGCGGATGAGCAGGGACCCAGGGGTGGGAACTACGGGCTCCTGGAGAGCCTGAGCCTGCTCCTTGCGAAAGCCCAGCGCGGGGAGGCACGGAGCCTGAGGCCACGCAGCTTCCAGAGGCAGATGGAGGCCACGAGCCCCCGTCGCAGCCCGGGACGCCCGCCTCTTACCTGATGGGCCTCGCTTGCTGGAAAGCGGCTTATTTTCTGCAAGGGGCACCCGGGCCAAGGCGGCCAGCTCCGAGATGAAGGTCTGCTCAGCCTCCTGAATGCGGAGAGATGGGTCGGCCAGCCTCCCGCTGCCCCGGTCCCCCCAGGCCCCCTTCACCGCAACGCGGCTGACGCTCTCCTGGGTGGCCGAGAGGCACGTCCCTGGCGGGGAGAGGTCTCCGAGAAGCATCGGGGGTCGGGGCAGGGAGAGGCTCAGGTGACGCTTGGAGAGGGCAACACCCCCGGCCAGGCAATGGCCATCCTCACTCCTACTGGCCATGGAGCCCATCTTACAGATGAAGGTACCGAGGGGCCACGAGGGGCAGGGGCAGGAGCGCTGACCCACTTCTGCCTGACCCTGGAGTAGGTGCCCCCCCAGCCAGCTCTGCAGTCCAGCAGGCTTCCTCATTAAGTCCTGGTCTTTGCCATTTTAGTGACTGAGCTCCGCGAGGCTCCGTTCTCCTCACACTCAGCCCACAGAGAGTTGGTGCCCGGGCCTGGCCAGGCTGGGCATGGGAGACTCAGCACGGGCCCTGTGGCCCATGGTGGTGTCAGGCGGGAGAGTCACAGGCCACTTGGGTCCCAGCAGGGGTGAGCAGCCCCTCACCAAGGCCACGGGGCTGACCAGTCATTGCCAGGGGCTGGGGCGGACCTGCCTCTGTAAACCCACCCCGAAGCGCACCTGCAGCTGGGTCTCCAGCTGGGCCTCCAGCTGCTCCGCGGCTCGGGCCTTCTGCTTCCAGGCGTGCAGGCGCGCCCGCCGGTGTGCGGTGAACTGCGACAGGAACTTTTTTTGCTGCGCCAGCATCCTGGAGAGGGAGGGGCCGACAGCGTGGCCAGCCCGCACGTTCATCAGAGACTGCGCGAAACTGCACGAAGGGTCTGTGGAGTCGTGGCGATGGGTGGCCCACAGATGTCCCTGAGGCCCCAAGCTGCGGCCGGGGATGGCCACCGCGCGCGGCCACCGTGAGCCACCACACCGGGATGCGCCCGGGGTCTGGACACGGAACCACAGACACTTGCACGGCTGCAGAGTCGCCCACTCGCATCTGTCACTGGCTCCAGGGGGAGCCTTGGCAACAGCCTCAGAGCATGAATGGGGGCAGGAGAGGCCCCTGGGGGCGGCGTCCCTGAGCTCCTGTGGCTGCAAGGCTTCCCCCAGCAGCGGGTCGGGCTCCTCAACGGACCCGTCCTTAAGTCCTGGTCTTTGCCACACTCCTGTTCATCCTGCAACACCTGCCCCCTGCCCCCCACCGTCCATCCTGCCAGCCAGCCAGCCGGCCCCCATTTGTTCATTAAAGCATCCTGGCCTGCTGGGGCTGGGCTCTGAAGCCACGGCTGTGAATGGGACAGTTGCTGCCCCCACAGAACTGTGCTTGGCCCTGGGGGACAGACAGCGGGCAAAGCATGGTGACAGCCGGGCTGCGTGGTGCCCCCTCTTCCACCCTCAAGGGGGCTGCGTGGGTGCCTGGGCTGCTCTCACCAGTCCCCACGAGCCGGGGCTTAAGACAACAGAAGCTGATTCTCTCACAGCTCTGGAGGCAGAGCTCGGATATGGAGTGAGCAGGCTGGCGCTCCCTCTGGAAGTCCTGGAGGACCTGCGCTGGCCGTTGCAGGGACTGTCCCATGCCAGGTGGAGGCCTCACCTCTGGGGCACGGCTTTGCAGGACTCCTGGGCTCCACCTGCCACCTCTCCCCCCGATGCTGGGTCGCTGAGGTCTTGCTTTTTCTGCAGCTTGTAATTCTCCATTCTCTCACCTGGAGCACAACACACGACACTGGGGGCTGAGGACCCGCCTGGGCCAGTCTGGGTGGGTGCTGGGCGCAGGAGAGGCAGGAAGCGCTTAGGACAGTGCTGGGCCCGCCCGCGCCCACTCCAGGAGGCTCCATGTGCACTTTTTAACCCACTATTGCTTTTGCCCTGGCGTCACCTGAGCTCGCTGTCTCTTAGCTAACTTGCTCTGCCACAGCCACCTCTGCCCACCAGCTGCTGCTCGACAGTGCTCGTGCTGTCACACACCACTCGGGTGGCCTGTACGACACCCAGGGGTTAGGTCCCCGGGGTTCATGAACACTTTGGGTCTCTTCCCTGTTCTTATTTGTGGTCACTGCCAACAGCTTCACTGGGGAAGTTTTTATCTGCTTGGCCACCGGGGAGCTCTGAGGCAAACCTGACGGGACCTGCTAGTGACCTCATGGGCCCTCACTGTCCTGTCCTTGTCTGACTTATCCACTCAAGGAAAATCCTACTGTACCACCTGGAGGTGTCTTTACCTCCGTCTGGGGACAAGGCAGGTGACAGACAAATAAGTAAAACTTTGATAATAAGTTAATACATTTCAAATAACACACCAAGAGCATTACATTCCTAAACATAAAACTTGAAAACCCTGACACCCCATTCTGTCCCAAACGGCCAGCAGGTTGGCCGGAGCGGGGGCCCTACCCTGCAGGGTCTTCAGATGCCGCAGCGTCCTCTCCTCGTGGGCCCGCATCACCCTCCCCACCTGCTGGGCGTAGGCCTGCACCAGCCGGCCTGCGCTGTCGCTGGTCACGTACACGCTCTCCACCGCGGCCTCCAGCAGCACTCTCTGCGGGCAGGAGGGGAAGGCTCAGGGGGCCACTGCACCCCACCCTCCCCAACAGCTTCCAACTCCCCCAACCTTGCCTGGCTGGGAGCAGGCACGGAGCACAGCTGGCCACGGAGCATAGCTGGCCACACCAGCCCCCAGGGCCGCATCCTGACTTCACTGAAATGGAAGGAGCGCCCGCCCTTGCAGTGCAGCCAGCTGGGGCCTCCCACAGCGCGCCACGGGGAGGGCGCCTTGCCTTTTCCTACATCTCGAGGGGGCAGCTCCAACCCCCACCCTGCCATCACTGAAGTGGGGAGACTTGACACAGGTCAAAGCACCCTAGTGCCTGCTTTCCCGCCTGAACATGGAGACAGAAACCCCCAGAGCAGCAAGGACAGCGCTGCTTCTTACACGGCTAATCTCACCCCAGGGGGTCATAGCCCCCGTCAGCCCAGGGAATTCAGCTCTTGGTGCTCTTGGTGTCAGGGCGGATACCACAAAGCCTCAGGCCTCCCAGCCAGGGCCCAGGAGAGGAGCTGGGGTAGGGGGCCTGCTGTGCCCTCGGCCAGCGGGGTGGCTCTGGGTGAATCACTGCCCCCTCAGAGCTGCTGCAGGGACTGAGCCAAAGGAAGGGACGTGGGGCTGGGCCGCAGGCGGAATCCCTCTTCCACAGTGCAGGGAGAAGCCTGGTGAGCCCTGGGAGACCAGAGCTCGTGGGCAGGACCCCAGGCCACTGCTCCTTCCAAGTCCCCCTCTGCCTGCCTGGCCCTCTAGCCCTGGGGGCCCGGGGCTGGCACACACCTTGAAGTCATCTCTGTCCCTGGCCCGGCTCCTGGTGGCCGCGTTTCGCGCGTGTCCCAGCAGTGCCTGCCCGATGGCACACTCCATGCGCTGCTGCAGGAGCCGCTGCACCTCTCGGGCCTCGGCCAGGAGCTGCTGCTGGAGCTGCAGCCGCGTCTGCTGCGCCTCCTCCTCCAGCCTGCTGGCCTCCTCCAGTACGCGGGCCTCCTGGAAGAGGGGTGGGGGTGCCACCTGCTGCCCGCACAGTTCTCGGGCCAGGACCAGGCGGGGGGCCAGGGTTGTGGGGGAGGGTCGGCCTGCCCAGGGCTCAGGAAGGTTGGGGGAGGGACGGGGTGGAAAGGGGTGGCCTTTGGGCTTAAGAAACCCAAGACACAGTGGATGGGCCTGGCTGGCTGTTGTAAGGGCCCCTCCCAGGGCATTTACTGAGCACTGGCTGCGTGCCCGCCTAGGGCCATCTGCCATCTCTCACAGGTACAAGACCTTCCCCATTCTTTTTTTTTTAATTTGATTTTTATATTCCCCATACAATTGCAACCCCCTTATTTTGACCTCAATCCCTCCTTTCCCCGCCCCCCACCTCCCAAGACCTTGCTCATTCTTCTACAACACCCTGAGGCCTGAACACTCGGAATAATGAGAACACAGAAGCTCAGGGATGTTAAGTAGCTTCCAGAAAGTCACACAGCACAGGTGGGCTTTGAGCCCAGTCTGAGCCTGACTATAGTCTGGGCCAAGATGGATGGCAAAGCTGGGCACGCAGGGCCCCAGGGTCACAGGGGGCAGAAAGGGCGGCCAGAATGAGGGCAGCGAGTCCTGTCTGCTTCCCCTGAGTCTCCTAGGCAGGGCAAGAGTCACGTGGGCACACCCCGCCCTGACGGGTCAGGAACGCCAGCTCCTCCCAGAGCCCGAGACCCGGGGAACATACAGCCTGGTTGGGTTTGAATCCTAGCAAGATCCACAGCGTCACGATTTTATCAATATACAACTTACAAATTTTCTTTTGATTTGTTAAGACCTTAAAACAAATGGCAGGGCCTCCTCCCCCCACCTTCTGTGTTATCTTCTAGTTTCATTTGCACTTTTAGAAAAATTCTCATTACAGCAGCCACTAGAACCTTGTGGCACATGGGTGCCCCCTACAGGGCACTGCCTGTAACAACAGGGGTGGCTGACAGGGCTGGACCCCCACAGGGGGCAGGGGACGGCCGACCTTACCAGGGCCCGGAGCAGCTGCCACTGATGCTCATCCAGACACTGGGAGGAGCCCTCCTCCAGGGCGTGCTGCTCACGCAGCTCCTGGAGCAGGCCCTTCTTCCCGGACAGTCTCATCTGGGTCAGGGTGGTGATGGAGCTGCCGCGGAGAGCCAACCTCCGGAGGGCTGAGCGCAGTAGCAGGTCATGCCCCTGCAGGATGCACCGTGTGGACCTTTGAGGAAAGTGGGTGGGGGCTGAGGGTCAATGCTCCTGGTTTCACTGAGGATGATGGCTAATTTTATATGTTAATTTGATCATACCATGGGGGGTCCAGACATCAGCCAAATGTGTGTATGTAAATGTTTCTGGATGAGATGAACATGTGAATCAGCAGACTGAGTAAAGCAGATTGCCCTTCCTAATGTCGGTGGGCCTTATCCAATCTGTTGAAGGGTGGAGAGACAAAAAGGCACTCTCCCATGAGTGAGAGGAAACTGCTCTGTCTGACTCCCTTGAGTTAGGTTGTGGCTTTTTCTTGCCTTGATCTGAAACTTTGGTTCTTCCTAGATCATAAGAATGTTTGCTTTCAGCCTGGAGCTTACACTATCAGCTCTCCTTGGTCTCATATCTTCAAGCTTCAGACTGGAACTACACATTAGTTTTTCCTGGGTCTCCAGTTTGCCAACTACAGATCTTAGGACTTCTCAGCCTCTATCCATGCATCCATAAAACCATTCATCAATGCACCCCATTGGTTCTGTTTCTCCTGAGAACCCTGGCTGATACGCTGAACGATAAGAGATGTCCCAAATACTCATACGCCACAGGGAGTCTTTCCAAAGGGAGGTGGGTTGGAATTATCCATCCTCTGCTGCTTGTTTTTTTAGACATGATTGCTGGCCTGGGTAGTGTTCAGTCCTTTGTTCTTTTATCATTAATCCATTTAACTTTATCACATCCTGTCCCAAGTTTCAGATGCAGCTGCCTTCAGTACATATCCACTTGAATTTCTTACATCACTCTCAAGATTAACATCTAAAACTGAAATCATGAGCTATTTTTAAGTTCCTATCTCAGTGACTCAAGTAAGGAAAAAAAATTTGGTCTACCAGAGGCCCAACATTTGTTTTAAAACTTGAGATACTTGCTGAGAGCGGCAAACTGAACATTGTTGACAGTAAGCTTACCACATGGGAACAGCCTGAAAACACCCCAAGCTTTCAGCTGAGGGCCCTTATCTTAAGAATGAGGACTCATCCTTCACAGAGGTTTCATTTTGAATCAAAATTTAAAATGAATGGAGTTGATTTGCCACTATCAGGATACATTCTCATTGGAGGAAGATCTCATTTCTCTGCGATTTTTCATGTAATATCCAGCAGTCAATAAAAATAACCATACAAACAAGTAAGAATTGGCAAATAATAAAGAGAAAACAGACAATAGAAACATACCCACAAAAGATAATGGAATAATCACATATGAACTTTAAAAATAGTTATGAATAATATGTTCAAGACTGATTAGATAAAGAGATAACTAAAATTTATGAAAAGAAGTAAGGGAAATTCTAGAAGTGAAAACACAGAAGCTGACATTAAGAACTCAGATGATGAATTTAACAGTAGAAATGATAAAACTGAAGAGAAAGTGAACTGGAAAAAAGAGAGCTCAAAAGAAAATATTCAGGCTTAATTTCAGAGAACAAAAGAATGAAAAATACAGAATAGCATGTAAGAGACATGGGATGTGTGAAAAGGTACAGAAAATAAGGTGTAATTGGAGTTCCTGAAAGAGTAGGTAGAGAATCAACACAAGGAATATTTAAAGAGATAAGAGCAAATACTTTGAAAGCTGATGAAAGACAGGAAACCACAGATAAAAGCAGCATTACAAATAAAGTTTACAAAACTACATACATATTTAGGCATATCTTAATAAATTGATGAAAAATAAAGAACAAAAGAACATCTCAAAAGCAGGAAGAAATTATTGAAATCTAAAGGTAACAGATTATTTTTAAAAGTATTTTCAAATCAACAAACAAAACAGGATTTCACACCCAATGAAAATATTCCTCAAACAAGAAGTTGAAGAAGACACAGCAAGACAAACAAAACCTAAGATAATTTTTACTGCCGGACCAAAATAAAGAGAAACTTCAGGTGAACACAAACACACATACACATGCACACACGTGCATGAGCGCGCGCGCACACACACACACAGAATCAAGAACAGAAAGGCCAAATAAGCAAGTAAATCCAAATGAATGTTGATGACATCAAACAGCAAAAGTTCTCAATAATGGGTTTTAAAAATATCAGAGAAGTGAAATATACAATGAGAAAAAGCACAAATATGATGGAGGAATACATGGAATTAAGTGGTTTTAAGGCTTTTGACTATTCAGGAAGAAGGAATAGATTAATGCCTATTGGATTTTGACAAGGATGCAATTTGAAATGTCTGAACCACTATAAGCAAAGTAAAAGAATATTTAACTAACAAACTAAAAAAGAGAAAGAATAGAATAATGGAAGAAAATCCCATCATTCCAAAAGAGAGAAAAAGAAACAGAGAAAGTGTGACAAACATAAAACAAATATGATAGATTTAACACCCAAATCCATTGGATTTATGATTTACATTAAATATAAATGGACGAAATATTAGTCTAATTAAATGACACAGGTTTTGAGGCCAGACAAACCACTATTGTCCTGAGTATGATTCACCAGGTTTTTCATGTTCCAACCTTTCTTATGTTTCTGTGTCCTCCTGCCCTACCCCTGTATTAGCCAATACTATAGCTATCTACATGCCTCACCTAGTTCACAGTTATATTTATAATCTGGTAGGTTTCTAAAGCACACTATAATGGAGGCAGAGGGCAGTCAATGTGTCCAGCTTATGGATGAGGATGCTGAGGCCAGCATGGATGACCACACAGGACATATAACCCCCCCTTCTAAAAGCCGTACTCACTCTTCACTGAGGCTGCCGAGTTGGCCCAGGACTTGGTGGACAATGCTTTCGTGGTCTTCCCACAAGTGTGTCTGAAGCACAGTGGACAGAGCATGCTCCTCCATCCATACCTAAACCTCAGGACAGAGGGACAGTGGTCAAGCCAAGTTCCTTTGACTCATTGCTTTGCAGGATGATACTTCATCTCATTTAAAATATCCTTTTCTTCCCTGATTTCATTAACTTTTTCTTATATTTTCTCAAAGGTTTGCTTTAAAATTTTCCTGTTTGCATTTATATTTTAAAACATGTAATGTTTATTTTCTTGTTTTCTGTGGTATGAGGAAAGGATTCATTTTCTTTGAATGAATGCATATGAACTGGCCCAGCACTCTTCATTAGGTAATCTATCTTTTTATGACCACTTTGCTATAGTCTTACAGCTTCCACATATGCATCTATCTGTTCCAGGTGCTCTGGTATTCTGTGGGTCTGCATTTCTGCACCAACCCCAGCCTGCTTTCATTATTGTCACTCAGGCACAGATGCTAAGGCAAGTCCTCCCCTATTCTCTTGTGCAAACTGTCTTCACTATTCTTGGTTGTTGTTCCTTTCATATGAGTTTTCGGTTTATCAAAAGTTTGGGAAAACAGCTTTTAATTTTTAAAAATTTATTTATTATGCATAAAAAAACCGGGGTGCAGGCCAGAGGTGAGGGGGGGTGAGAAGATTCACCAGAGACAGTGACTGAAATACACTGCTGAGGGGAGCAGTGGGTGAGACAGGAGAGGTCTGCTGCACCATGTGGGTTGCTCCCTGGCCGGGGATGGAATTTGTGCTGTAGTGGCTGCTGATAGCTTCATAGTGCTGAGACTGAACCCCTTGTGCCACCAGGGAGGCCCAAAAACAGCTTTTTAAATGTTTCTGGTGATTGGATTGAATTAAGTGGATTAAGTTGGAGAGAATCCCTCTCTTTCTAAGCATGATCTTTCCCATCAAACAACCTGGCATTTCTCCTAAGTGTGACACATGCTGTCAATATTATTTGATAAATTTCTTCTTAAGTTCCTATATATACACATAGGTCAGATTTGTTTTTAGACACCTGATAGCTTTCTTCTGAAGAGGATTTTTATGTATGTTCTCATCAGGTGTTTCTGGTAGGTAGGAAATCTACTGGTTTGAAATATTGCTTTTATATCCAGCAAGCTTGCTATCAATCTATCCTATTAGTTTGTCTGCAGATTCTTTTGGGTTTTCAATGAAGATGTTCATGTCACCCACAAAAACTCTGTGAAAGCATCAGGTCATTTTTACCTTTAATTCTGTCAAATTGTTCTTTATGTATTTTGAGGCTAAGTTTTTGGATCTTCCTGAGGAATTACTCCTTTGACACCATTTAAAGACCCTCTTTTTCCCTAAAGGATGCTCTTTGTGCAGTGCTGAGTTGTCTGATGTCAATATCACACACCAACACTCTTTGGTCTGCATCAACCTGATACATAAGTTTGCACATTAGCTCATCTTCACTGTGGCTTTATCTGTGAAAATCCTGGGAGGTGCAAGACCACGCAGTCAATAAATCTTTAACAAGTGGAGCAGGAGTTCAAATATAAACCTGTCGCCTCCAAAGTACAAATCTGTTCTCACCCCACCAGGCTCCTCCCTGACTATCTGGGATGACCAGGAGAAACACCCCTATTTCACCCAGGCAGGCCCCTATTCCTACAGATGGGCTGTTCCTCCAGCGGCCCGGAGGTGGCGCTGCTGCACGCGGAATGCGGTGGTTAGGGTGGTTCCAGACAAAACACGGGTGGGAGGTAAGCCCGCAGCCTGGCAGGCTCCCAGGCACAGTGGTTACTTACCCTAAAGCTCACTAAACTGCCGTGTTTCCCAGAACTTTTCATTAAAGTCGGTCTTAGACCCCTTACTTTTGTAAGGAGCCGACAATAACCTGTCTAAGTGCTGGAAAAAACAACATTCTAGGAAAGTCCAGTCTTGATTCTCTCCACGTAGCACATGCACATGGTTAGTGATAAAACAGACGTTCACCGCAAAGCCAGCCCCCACCCCCCAGCCCACTCCCCCGTGGAACACCTGTTTTTCATGCTAATGTCCAGCCTCCTAAAGAACAGGCTTTGCTGCCTCTTTTGAAGGGTCGGCCGAAGGTGGAGAGCACGGACTCCTATGGTGGGAGGGTCCTCGATTCCCCCCACGCCCCACCCCGCGCCCGCCTTTAAGGCTGCTGTCAAAGGCCAGTTGCAGGCCCAGCTCAGCCTGGAGGGGCTCAGTGAAGGGAACCCCCATTATTCTTCACAGTTCTCCCAGGTACAGACTCTAGACCCAGTTCGTGAACCGCCCCACCTGCTTTTCTTGCTCCAGGAGATCCTGGAAGAGCTTCCACTGCTGTTTCCGGAAGCGATCCGACTTGCCCAGCTGCCGGGCGGCGTCCTCCTGGGCCTCCTCCCGCAGGTACTCACACTCGGCCCGGGGGAGGCCAGTCACATCCGGCAGCGTCTGGAGGAACAGGTGGTCCGCGAAGCCCCGGAAGGTGTCCATGGTGCAGCGGTACAGCTCCTGCGGCCAGCGCCAGGCGGGGCGTCGGGGTCAGCGCAGGCAGGCTGCTTCCTCTCCCCCACGCGCCTCCCAGCCCAGGGGGAAGCTGGGGTGAACGCCGAATCTCTCTCTCTCTCTCACACACACACATGCACACATGCACACACACACACAGAGGCACATACACCTACAGGGTACACACGCGCACTTTACACACACACACACGTGTACTCATTTACATGCACACACAACACACAAGTACAATGCACTGCACATCCACACGTGCACACACACTCTCGCTGTGCACCTGCACGCGGAGCATCATTTACATGCGCACATGCACTGATGTGCAGGAGCCCTGGGAGGGCACCGAGGTATGTGCCTCAGTGGCTCCCACCCCAATCAAGCAGAATCTACTGTGTGTTTGGGGGCCAAGAGATGGTGGGAATCTAGAAACCTGCACTTCCCCTGCAGCCCAAGGACCGATCAGTGCTTGTCAAGTTTCTCTCGCAGCACCTGGCCCACGACACAGCTGGAGCCGTGCCCGCAGCGAGGAAGTGGTGCTGCCAGGGACCTGCTGGAGAGCGCCCGCAGACCTCGAGGTGCCCCGTCTCGTGAGCGTGTCCCGGGCCAACTCCCCGACAGCAGGCGTCGGCAGCGCCCGCCGTGACGGTGCCTGACAGCTCACCGTGTGCCTGACGGCGCGGGGCTGCCGGCAACCTCTAGGTAGTGACGTGAAGGAAGCTCATGGGCCTGTTTTAATGGAGGAGACTGAGATGGCGCCCCCGGCCCTTCATTTCTCGCTGCCCCCATCTGCCCTCAGGCCCCTTGCCTCCTGCCTGGGCCGTGGCTGTGCCTCCCCTGGCTCCGCTGCCACCTTGGGCACTGCAGTCTAGTCTCTGCAGAAAGCAGAGGCTCTTCGGGAAGCACGAGGCACAGCAGAGGCCACCTGCCACCATCCTGGTGATGGCCTGTCACCATCCTTCATGACCTAGTGTCCACACTCTGCCTGCCCCTCCGCGCTGGGTGCTGCCTGAGGCAGGGGCCCCCTCTGTCTCCGTCACTGACACAATTATCACGTCAGAGGGGCTCTCCTGGTCTCTCAAAGCCAGCCTCGAGGCAATCAGGGCTTCACCTCATTCCAGTGTGGCACAAGGTTGTCCAGGGAGAAAGAGGTGGTGCTGGCACAGGAACCCAGTTCTCCCTGCTTCCCAGCCAGAATGCCAAGCTTGAGCCTGAACCTGCTCTTTGGAGTTTCCGGCTCAGGAGGATGGGGGTTGCCAGGTGCACTCAGGTGCCCCGGGTTCCCTGTGGGTCCGGCTTGACCGCATACCTGGCAGAGTGCAGCCATGGCCTCGGTGGTTCTGACACTCTCATCATCCTCCAGGTCACCCTGCGTCAGCCTCTGCCTCTCCAGTATCCCGTGAAAGGCCTGCGAGCAAAACAGGAGCTGAATCCAGCGGAAACAAGATTTTATTTTTCATTTGCAGCAAAATCTCCTTAAATGACCTTTGCCGCTCCGACTGGAAAGGCGGTCATCCTTGATTGTGCACAAGGAAACAAGTCACGTGGCTTCCATGACTCCACACCACGGCCCAGACCGGGATGGGCAAAGACGATCTCCAGGAAAACCCCAATGTCCGACCCAGGACACGAGGGCCTCAGGTCACCCGTCAGCCCTCTCTCGGACACAGCCATGCAGCGACCACGCTGACTGGAGCCCCAGGACTGCCCTCACACCCACCAGGGCGCCCGTGACCTGGCAGGGCCGAGGCACACAGGCCACTAATGGGGCTCAGTGACCAGCCCTGCCCCGAGCCCTGGCCAGGCCGCCCTGCAGAGCCCAGTGGGCATTGTTTGGCGTCACTAGGACCCGGGGCCCAAGGGGCTTGGCTGAGACCCCCAGGCTGGCACGTGGAGGCAAGGAGCTGACCTCGTGTCTGCCGGATGACACAGCCTCCAGCTCCCGCGGCACAGAAATAGGGACGGCGCCACCCCAGCTCCACACCCACGGCCGCCCAGCACAGGTCACCTGGAGGAAGCCCTCTGGGTCAGCGGGCGGCTGTGCCCGGGCCAGGAAGCTCCTCTGCTCTTCTTTCTGCACCTGCGTGAGCTCCGCCGCCCCCTCTGCCTGACGAGCCAGCGACGCCTGGACCAGGCCCTTGCCTCGCTGGACAAACTCTGAAAGGGAAATGCGCCAGGCACGAGGTTACACCCAGCACTGATGGGGCAGACCAGGGGCTGCTCCGCTCCCCTGCACTTTCACCGTTCAGGAGTCTGTGCCTCCAGACAGCTGGGGTTCGGTGTCCCCAGCCCTTCAAAGCATGTGGCCAGTTGTTATTTGAAGGGGCCCCCCCTCCCCCGGTGCCAGAGTCCAGGATCCCCGCGCTGTGCAGGGCGGCCGGCCTGACCGCCAGGAGAAGCAGGAGCATTCCCTGGGGAAGGGCTAGCGTGCAGGTGGCAAGCGCAGGCAGGGGACGAGGGGCCGGAAGAGCTGAGTCTGCGGGGAGACAGTGGCCGGGAGTGGAGATCTGGAAGCGAAGGGACGAGCGGGGACGTCAGCGGACAGGGCCCCGAGCTCAGGAGCAGGGGCAGCGGGCGAGTCCCCCAGCGGGGAGCTGGGCCTGGGGACAAGGCTCAGCCCAGCTCTCGGGAGACCCCCCCTCCCCAGAGAAGCTGGGAAGAGGACGGTGCATCCATGTCTCGGGGTGTGGTGGAGGGTGGCGGACCTCAGAGATGGCCCCGAGCACAAGAGGGGGAGCCAGTTTCCACCTGGGCTTATAGGGAGATGCTGAGAAGCAAGCAAGGGTCAGGTCGCCACGGGGCTGCCGACCTCGGGGATGTTTGTTTTAGTCACACACACACACATACACACACACACACATGCCATAGGCTCCATGTGCTTTTGCGGCACAAGCACGTGTCCTCGGGGTGGACCTGCCCACCGGCACAGCCTCCTGCACAAAGGGAAGGCCGCGGCTGGTCAGCAGAGAGCAGAGCCCTGCCCGGCCCGGGGTCCTCTGCAGCCCCCGGCCACCGCCCAGGCTCCCTGTCTTGTTCAAGTTCAACAGACACAGACCAGAGGACGCCACTTCTGCTTCCCAACGCTGCTTCCCAACGCTGCCCCTCTGCCTAGGGCCCGCCTCTCACTGGGGAGGTCTGGGGCTCTGTGAGAAGGCCCACCCGGGCTAGACGTGGTCAGAGGTCCTGCCACGGGCAGCTTCCACGTGGCCACAGCAGCTGCAACCAAAGGGCCATGGCAGCCAGTGGGAGACCAAGGGCCCAGCTCTGAGTTTCTGCCCTCTGACCCCATGGCCAGGGTCAGCGGAGGCCAGGTCAGGGGCTGCCATGGAAACCAGGTGCCGTGGAGGAGCCTCACCTGGAGCCTCACCTGGAGGTTGCTAGCCTCCAGCCCGGAAGCCTGGCCCCCATGGCCCGGTGGCAGGACCCCCCGCAGCACTCCAGGCACGCTCACCCCGGCTGAAGCGCTCGGCCTCCCCCCAGAAGGCCTTCTGCTGCTGGGTCAGCAGTTCCTCCTTCTGCCGCCCAGAGAGCTTGCCCTCCACGCTCAGCAGCTCCAGGCTGCGGGCCAGCGCGGCCAGGCGGCACTTGGTCTCCTCCTGGATCTGCAGCTTCAGGGTCTCGACCATCCTGGCCATGAGCAGGCGCCCCATCGTCCTGTCCAGCGTGTCCTGAGGGGAGAAACAGGACCAGGGGCTGGGACACCCCGGTCAGCCCCCCACCACCGGGCTTGCTCCACCCTAGCACCTACGGCCCAACGGCCGCCCCAGAGGAACCAGCCGTCCCGCGAGCCTCCCTGCCCGCGCCCAGGGGGGGACAGTCGACCTCGTGGGGACAGTGAGGAGGGGACCGAGCGAGCTCCTCCGGGAGGGAGTGCAAGCGGCTCGGCGCCATCCCCACCCCCAGCGCCAGGCCAAGCACACCTCTGGCTCCACAGCTGGCGAAAGGCTTGGCTCTGAGTTTGGGGCGCCTGAGCTGGGACCTAGATTTCAGGGTAAGACTGAGGTGGGAGGGGTCCCCTGTGATCAGACTTCAGAGCTGGACCCGCTGTTAACCTGACTTGGATAGGCCTCTGGAAAGACACGGGGCAGGGGCGCCGCCTGTGTCCTGGAAGGAGGCCTCTCCCACCCAGGCCCGCGCCAGCCAGCCCAGCCCAGCCCAGCCCCAGCAGTCGGTCCTTCCTCGAGGAGCCCGCCCCGCCCTCCCCACCCCACTGCTCTTCCCACTCCACCCCTGCCACCCTCTCCGCCTTCCACCTGACCCCCACAATGACAAGAGGGGCTTTCAGAGATGCAGATATGGCCCGTGTCCCCTCCCGCCGGGACAGCCCCCTGCCTCCTCCCACGCCCCTCCCGGCCAGCCCCCCCGGTCTCGTGGGCTCTGTGGCTGCTTCCCTGCCTTCCCCGCCCCACCTCTCCCCTGCTTACTCCCCTGCCCTGCGCAACCTCTGAGCAACGGGCCACGCCTGAGCCGCTCTCTGCCCAGCCCTTGGACTCTGCTGCTGACTGCCGGGGATCGTGAGACCAGGCCCGTGACCGTGTCTCTTGGTTGCAGGACAGACCGGCTCATTCCAGGTGGTCCTATACCTGCCCCGCGGGGACAGTAGCGTAGACGGCTCCCCCGCTCGCCTGCCTCCAGTGCTGGGGCGCAAGAGCACGAGGCGCAGTGCCAGGCCTGGGTGTCTGGAGCCCCGGCAGGGCCAGCAGGGTGGGGCGGGGAGGGTGCCCACTGCCTGGCTGCGGCCGCAGCGAGGGCCTCCCTCGGTCGTGAAAGCACAACCTCTGGAAGGATGGGAGTGGCGAGCACGCACGAGCAGGGGCATGAGGAAGGCAACGGAGTGGGGGCCACGGGGGGCCACGAGGGGCCGCAGGCCCTGAGGTTAGCCGAGGCCCCCACGGTCGGCTCCACCGAGCAGCGGCAGGACCCCAGATGCAGCGCCCTCGACTGACTCATTTTCAAGTTGCCGTGAGGATTAAATAAGTCAAAATGGATTTTAAAGCATTTAGAACAGGAGCCAGGCGCAGTCACGCGCTCACGAACGCTGCGTCTCACAACCGCCGGGAGCAAGCCCCGCGTCTCTCGCTCTTCCCGGTCACCCCAGACCCACCCAGGACCCGCGGGGCCCTTTCTGGGACACTCCCAGCTGTGACCAGCGCCCAGGCCAAAAGGCCTAGACCCCGGCCGCAGAATCTAAGTTCTGGAATTTGTCAGCAACAGGTTCTGAGATTCTGAAGCCACGTTTGTCGCGGCACACGGGCGAGCAGAGGCCCAAGTGGACGGCGCCTGAGCACGCGCCCTGGCCCCTCCTGCCGCTGACCCGAGGGTCGCCAGCGCCGAGCACCTCCTGTCCCCGCACACGCTCGGCGCAGGTGCACCCCCGTCCCCGGTGCGCAGATGACGGCACTAGTCAGAGAGCTTGGTTCACCCGCCCCAGGTCACACAGCTAACACGCGGCAGGCCTGAGCGAGAGCCGGGCCACCACAGTGTCTGCCGCAGGACGCGGGACGCCGCAGGGCCCCCAAAGGAAGGCGCCCTGAGAAATGGACCATCCCTGTCGCTTCCTCTCGGGAGCTGCTGGCTAGGGGTCGGGCCAGAGTCCGCTAAGGGGACAGTCTTCATTCTGCATCAACATTCTACCAACAGGAAAATAACTAAAAAGAAAGAAAGAATAAGAGGAGAAAAGTCTTTCTCTTTTGATGAACATTAGTATCAGCAGCCCCACCTCGTGGAAATCCACTCCACAGGGGCGCACGGGGCTGCAGGGGTGGAGAGGGGCTGTGTGGGGCGCCACGTTCCAGACAGGGGGGGCCTGGGGAGTCACACCTCTAGGCACCCCGGCCTGCCTCAGCGGAGCCCGGGGAGAGGGGTGCACGGGCACTTGGGGAAAGAGTCTTCAAGGCCCAGCCAGCGGTGCACACCTCCAGGTGTTTAAGATATAGGCGGTGATTCCGGAACCGGGGCGAGATTCTGCGCTTCCGGCCTCCTCTCGGGCACCCGACGCTGCTGGTTAGGGGGCCCCACCATGGGCAGAGCAGGTGATGGCAGAGCAGCAAGACCCCCACACCCCCTCCCTGCTCCAGAACATGGGCTGGAGGAGCCAAGTCTCCGAGCGGAGAGCGGGGTGTAGCCTGGGCGGGCGCTTGTGCCCCAGGCAGGCTCTCAGCCGGCGATTCAAAGCCGCCAGGAGCCCCGGGTGTTGTGGGCCCAGGCACGCCCTGGACTGTCTGCCTTGACTTTGGGGGCTGCTCTTTTATGCTCGGAGAACCGGAAGCTCAGGGCTGAGTCACCCGCTCCAGCGACACAGCTTGTGGCGGCTGAGCCTGGACTCCACCCATCTGTCAATTCCCCTTCACCGCTGCTTTGCATCCTGCCTGCACCTCAAAATCATTTGGGGGGTTTTAGAGCCAGTGATGCCGGGGCCTCCACGTCAGGCCAGTGAGATGGGGTGTCTGGGCCTGCGGCCTGGGCAGACATTCTTTGAGATGTGGAGGACACGTGTGGAGGGCAAGTCCAGTCTCCATTCCAGCAGCAGGCTCACCACTGGCGCCTCACCGTGGCTGCCTAAAGCACCAAACTGACTGCTGTAAGCTCTGGGGTGAGGACCCTCCTGGAACCCAGCATCAGTACCTTCCAAAGCTCCCCAGACAACTCCAGCAGGCAGCCAGGGCTGGGCCTAGAAACCCTGACCTGGCCAGCGTCTCCACGTATGTGGTGGACAGGGGGGTGGGAGAGTGACTACACACATGGGCCACGGGCGGACGGATGGACAGAGCAACAGGTGGCTTTTCTCTGGCTCTCAGCCCCGCCACCACAGGGAGGTGTCCCTCCTGAGGCCTCAGTGACCGCTCCACACTCCCTGTGTCCAGTGGGACAGCCCCCGGCCCTCCCGCCTGCACCGGCGTTACCAGGGCCTGCAGGTCCTGAGATTCGCGGAGGAGCCCTTCGGCCGCGGCCATCCTCTCCGTCAGAGCCGTCAGGAGCTGCCGGGCTTTGGCGGCGGAACACTTAAACTGGTCCACGAGGCAGTGCGGGATGTTTTCCATCTGTCTCCAGAAAGCTTCCATCTGGAATAAGAGAAGCAGGAGGGGGAGAAGACTTCGTTAGGAAAGCCATAAAGCTACGGGGTGCAGAGGGGTGTCAACCCTGTCCCTATCAGAAGGAGTGCCCACGCCCCCTGCAGCTCCGAGCACGTTATCCCGGGAGACTCCCATCCACAGAGAGGCCCTCGCGTTCCCAGGAGGCTTTTCAGCCACGGCTAAGGAGCTGCTGCTGGGGACAGAGAGCACGAGATCGCCCCTCAACCCACTCAAAGGCCCCACAAGGCCGAGACCGCCCACGGGGAGATGCCTGTGAAAATCGACAGTGGCTGCCGGAAGTTTCCAGATCTTTAAAGGGTTTAAATGTGTCCTGGCAATAATTTCAAATATTAGTCATTTAAATATCAGTTATTGTCCTGAAACAACAGGAGAGTGACAGGGCAGAGAATGCTGACCTTGGAGGCATTTTGCTTTAAAGGCCCTTCCTCCATTTTGTCCCTCCACCATTTTGTTCCGAGCTGAGCTGGGGATCAGCTAGAGGCTCAGACTATCTGGGGCTCCCCTGTGCCAGCACTGCCCCTAGGAGCCGGGAGAACACAGCACCAGAGCTGCCACCTTTTCCCTACGGTTATGCTGCATGCCAGGTGCTGGGCTTTGCATTTTATTTCTAGATTAAATCCACCTTGGGAGGAAGCGCAGCTCAGCAGTGCGGTGTTAGGGCAGGACTGGCTCTGCCGTTCACCCGCCTGCTCTGACCCCCCATAGCTCTGCCCTCAGGTGTGGAAATGGACAGTCCTCAGGACAGGGTGCGGAGGGGGCAGGGCTCGGAGGCACCAGTAGCCACACCTGATCTGCTGTTATGGCTGGAGGTGGCGAGGCGGGAGCCTGAAACACTGAGTTAGCCCCCCCATCACGCAGCTGCACTCATTTGCCTCTCATCTCGGGGTCTCCTCACAGTTCAGTGAACCCCTAATTGGCCCCTACCCAGTTCCTCATCCCATCAGAACCCCCCAGAACCCTCACACCTGCCCTGGAGCTTCCCACCCTAGCAGAGGACCTTCCCGCCCAGTCCTATAAATCTGTCCCCTAATTATCTCTTATCTCCGGTTTGCTCCAGAAGTGGATCCCTGGCTCCGGGGCGGAACACGACAGGGAATTCAGGTATTAGTTCTCCTCGTTACCCGCTCCTTCATCTCGCCCATTGGACTGTTCCCGAAAGCGAGGTTCCCGAGGGGAGGGAAGACCCACACTTTCCACCAGCTGCTCGGCGCGCTCTCTCTCCCTCCTCTCCACGTCCGCCAGGGCGATGTACTCGGAGTCCCCAGCGCCCAGCCTCTCTGCGTTTGATAGTTTGACCTGAAGTTCCTTCTCTAATTCCTGCAAGTCCTGAGACAAGCAAAAGCAAGCAAATAAAAAAGAAAAAATGGAGTATATTTTAAAGAAAAAGACATGTTTTCATTTTTTACCACTTTATAAACCATAACTAAATGCTCTGCATGTTGTTCTATTTAGGGTTTGATGATAAAATCTATTTTTCTCATTAAATATAGTCTCAAGAATAATGGATTATTTTCTTCTATCTCCCCTCTCTTGCCTCAAAATAGGTCATACTTAAAAAATAATGAAATACTATCTTGCAACCCTTATGCATTCTAGAAAATGTCACATTTCTTCCCTACTCTCTGATTTCCAGGGGGAAGGATTCCTCATTACACCCCAGGAAGGAAGTTTATGTATTTGATTCGTTCAAAAGCAGGAAGCAAGCACATGGCCCAGCCTGCCCAGCCTCTTCCTCTTTAGATGGACCTTCAGGCAGAGGCCATACTGCTGGTGTGGACTCTGCCCACAGTGAACATCTGTGTGGTGGTCCAGCTTGGCCAGATTAGGTAGGCAACTCAGCTAATTCTGGGAATGTTCTGTTTTAGGACCCGATGACCACCGTACATTTGAGCCACAGCTTCCATACCAGCCACTTGACAGTAATAAGTTGACATTTCTATATCCATCTCCTAGACTATTTGCCTCTGAATTGATTCAGAACTCAGAAGAGGAAAAGGAGAGCCCTACAGACAGAGTCCATCAAAACACCAACCCAGAATGAGAACTGTGTTCACTGACATGAAATCAACACAGGTTTTTTTACCAGTAACACTGGTAAAAACTGCCGTTAAGTCCCCAAGCCAAGACCATGTCGTCTTCTCTCCCAGTGGAGTGATTAAATCAGAGGAGTGGAAAGAAACATTCCCTCCCAATTCCCCAAGCCATGGTGGCAGGGGCAGGATGACAGTGACAGGAAGGAAGCGGAGGCAGTGACAGGAGCATGAGGATGATGGCCATGGTGGTGGAGAGGATGGTCATGATAGTGGTGCCGATGGCAGTAACAAGGAAGATGGCGACAGTGATGAAGGTGATGGGGTGGCGGTGATGAGGAAGATGAGGAGGAGGATGAAGAAAATGATAATGTTGGTGATGGAAGTAACAGAATGATGATGACAATGATGATGGTGGTGGTGATGACAACAGAGATGGTGATGTTGCAGATGATGGTGATAGTAGTGGTGGGTATAAAATGCTAATGATGGCGATGATACTGATGATGATGAAGATGATGATGAAGACTGCAGTGGTGGTGGTGATAATGAGGATGATGGAGTGACTCAAGGCCTGGCTATTATTTTGCTTTGATCTTTATACATGCTTTTCTTCTTATTTCTGTAATTCTCCAGGACAGGAATTACTATCCCACTACACAAAGGAAGAACCCAGGATACTGAGAGTTTATGAGGACAGAAGTAGAATATCTACTTCCCCCAGTCTGACTCCAAACCCTGACTTTTTGCTGCCCAATAACAGAGATTTTGTATAAAAGACCAAGAGGAATAGAATGCAAAGGAACATAAGGAGTCCTAAACAATCAGCACATTACATGGGCCTCCCCGGTGGCGCAGCGGTATGAGCGCTGGGTTGAGAAGCTGCCCGCAGCCCCTGCAGCGCCGGTTCGATCCCCGGCTGCTCCCCGGCCACCGGAGGAGGGTCCCACATGGCGTGCGGACCTCTCCTGCCGCCCGCTGCTCCCCTCAGCAGTGGACTTCGGTCCTTCTGCCTGCTCTGCTCCCCGCTCTGGCTCTGGTGAATTCTCTCACCCTCCCGCGCTTCTGACTGTACCCAGTGCTTGTATAAATAAATAAATAAATAAATCTTTAAAAAAACAAACAAACAAAAAAAAAACAATCAGCACATTACATATTTGAAAATAACCCACATATGTACAGAAAGTATCATCAAGAGTGGTTCCCAGGCCTCCCTGGTGGTGCAAAGGGTTAAGACACAACCTATGAAGCTGTCTGCAGCCTCTGCAGCATGAGTTTGATCCCCAGGCTGGCCAGGGAGCTACCCACATAGTGCAGCAGACCTCTCCCGACTCACCCACTGCTCCCCTCAGCAGTGCACTTCGGTCAGTCTGCCTGACCTGTTCCCCGCTCTGTCTCTGGTGAATCCTTTCACTGCCCCCCCCACACCTCTGGCCTGTACCCCAGCTCTTGTATGCATAAATAAATAAATCTTAAAAAAAAAAGAGTGGTTCCCTTTTAGTAGTGGAGAGGCCCAACATTCTTCTTTTATTTTCTCCCAATATTTTTCCATATTTTAACACTATACATGACTACATTTGTATTTGTACATGACTTTACATATTTTATTATGTTGAAAAGTAAATAATGTAATGAACTATGAAATGCAGACTGAAGATTTACTTACATTTTCTTGTTTCGAAAGAATCTTCTGATATAATTCGTCATCAGATTTCTTTTTAGGAAGAAGGTCAAGGAGGCACATTTTAAAAATCTGAATAAACATCTATTGTCCAAAAAGGAAACATAAGAAAAAGATTTAAACAACGGTAGTCTTTTTTCACCTCCCACCCCCTCCTTTTTTTACTCTGTCTCTGCTGTCTGTCTTTCTGTCTCTGTCTCTGCGCGCGCACGCACACACACACACACACACACATCTTGCTATAGGAACACACCTCATATTATCAGATTATCAGTCAGGAGTAACAGACTGCATGTTCATGAAGCAATATATGTTTGCAAATTGTTTCCCCCCCCTTCATTCATTTATCAATAAATAATTACTCAGGTTTACCCTGTGCAAACCCTTTCCACGTGCCCCTATTCCACACAGGTCAAAGAAATTCAGGAGGTAAAGGGATGTTGTTTCCACGTGGAAAGAATCGGGGATGCTGCCTGGAACTGGGGTGGGTAAGGTCACTCACTCCAGCCTCCTGTCTCCGTGGGGGCAGATGTCCCTAAGCCTGGGGGTCCCCACTGACGGGGCCACCCCGGACAGCTCAGACTAGCTATCTCTGGAATTGGGTCATTCGCCTGTAGCAGGGCCCTGGGTGTTTCCAGTTGGGTTTGCTACAAATAAAGCCGCTGAGCGTCCACGCACAGGTCTCTACGTGAACACAGCGTTCCTGGTTAATATCCAGAGGGGTCATCGCTGGGCTTCCTCCGGGTGGAGGGGAGCCATGCCGTTCAGCCCATCCTCACCGGCGTTTGATGTGGTCCCTCACTTATTTCAATCATGCCGATGGGCGTGTGCTCACATCTCACGGGACTTTAATTTCCCCAGAGGCATAATGAACTGCTTTTCAAGTGTTTACTTGCCAACTGGGTCTCCTTTCTGCTGAAATATCTGCTCTTGTCTTTTGTCCATTTTCTAATTGAGTTGTTTACTTTTTTAACTGAGTTTTGAGAATTGTTTACATAGTCCGGGCACTAGTCCTCCGACGTCCCAGAGCCCCCCGCGGCCGAGCTGCACGGGCATCCAGAGACGCCGCCTCCCTTTCTGGCTCCGGGCCCTTGTTTCTCCCCTGACTTGGAGAACACGAGCCTGTGGAGAGGCACAGACTCCCATCTCGGCGCCACGCTCAGAGCCCTGTGACCTCGGTTTCCCCATCTGAAGAGGAGACAACGGCGCCCCTGTTCAGCCCAGCACCCAACCCCCACGCGGGGCTAGGATATCCGAAGCACTCGGAGCTCATAAATATGGGTGCCACTACCGTGGGTCCCTCAGGAACACCGCTGCCACGGGGGGCTTTTATCTCTGTCTCCGGCAGGAGAGAACCTGGGAGGCCCCGTCAGCACTGCCCCTCGCCCCATCAGCAGGCAGGACTGCTTCTCCTTTGGGTGCCGACACGGCTCTCCCTCTGCCGTCACCCGTCCTCACGTCCCCGAGTGCACAGCCAGCCTCGCCTCTCCTTCCTGACCCGTGAACAACAGCCCAGAAGCCTCTCCCCGCCTACCAGGTGCTTCTCCCGCCTCAGGGCCGTGTCCAGACGAAGCAGGTCTTTTAAGTGAAGGTTGTAGATACACAAGTCAAGGTCCACACTGAAAAATCAAGAGCAGAGACCCTGAGGTTTGGGGTGGATGTGACGTGGCAGTGACGAGGCCCCACCCCGGGCAGTCAAGCCTCAGGGCATCCCCCCCAGACCTTGGCCTCAGGGGATTCCCAGGGCCCCAGCGGTTCTAGGAAGGCCTGAGGAGCTATCTGAACCCTCTCCTGACCCGAGGCGGTGACTGCTGGGTCACCAAAGACACAGCTAGGAAGAGACGGCAGGTGAAAGGACTGAAAGACGGTCCCTCCTCCTCGGGCGTGTCCACGCCCAGCTCACGGCCATGTGCTGGCCGCTGCCTTGGAGACCATCTTGCACCCATGTGACAGAAGAGCGTGAGGGCTGGCGAAGCAGATAGCGGCCCTGGTGGCAAGGGCAGGTGTCAATAAAGGCCTCGACCTTTCTCCTACAGAGGCAAGTGCATTTTAAATGACCACCCCCGCCCCCCAAACTGCTACCAGGCTTCTCAGCCCAACTCTCCCAAGCAGCCCCTCCCCCAGGAGGCCGAGAGCCCCTTGCCTGGGCTGCATGGAGAGGCACAGTGGCCCCGGGGTTCTGAGCCCACACCTTCCGCAGCCCTGGGCCGTCCTATCCCTGGTCCTCTGAACTCACAGAACTCCAGAGCCGAGAGAGGCCTGCGGATCTGGGTGCATACCGCCAGGTGGAGTTTCTTGAGCACCTACTATGCGCTGAGCCGTGTGGACTGGGAGGTGTGGTGATATGGAGCATGGGCTTTGACCCGGCTCTGTCACTCACCCGCTGCGTGACCTCGGGCAAGACACTCAGCCTCTCTGTGTCTTACTTTGTTCTCCCCAAACAGGGGCCATGATATCAGCTGCCTCACAGGTGTGTGAGAGGGTCTCACCCATGATCAACGGTGCTCCCGCCCCTGAGCGTGGGCCACGTTCCCACCGGCCCCAGGGACTCAGCGTGAGTGGATGGACCCACCTCTTGCCCCTGAGGCACGAGTCCCTGCAGCATGCTGAGCCCCCGTCGGGTCCACGGGAGGCTGCTGTGCAATGCCAGGGACATGCCAGCTACCACGAGGCCCGAGGCTCCCTCGGGGCTCAGGTCTGACCCCTGACCCCACCTGCCAGCACCACGTGGCACAGCAGAGACGGGTTCCAGCTGACCTGGAGGCTGCGTCCATGACAGAGTGGCTTAAATGCTCTGCCCCCCACTTCTTCCCGGACAGAGAAGGGGCCGTGCGTCTGCTCCCAGGGCGCGGGGAGCTTCCCTCCCTGCCCCCTCACCTCTCAGAGGCCAGGGTCTCGGGGAAGCCGGGGGTCTGGAGGAAGGTGCGTCTGAGGAAGCCGTTGTCGCTGGCGGCCGAGTGGACGCTGGACGAGGAGCTGCAGGCGTCCTTCTCGGCCTGGCTCAAGCTCCCCAGGCTGCTGGACGGGGACGCCTCCCCCAGCTGGTTGGGCAGCCCCGCCGGCTGCAGGGTCTCGTGCAGCGACGGGTTGGAGGAGCCGTCGGCCAGAGGCTGGCGAGGGAGCGCAGGCTCAGCGAGGCCCCCGGGGGTCTCAGGATTCCACGAGCCGGACGCCAGGCGGGGCAGGCGGGGGCTGAGAGGGGACGTCCCAGGCTCGCACCCCTGAGCTGAGCCGCCTCTGCCCCCACGGCCTGCCTGGCCCACCTGCCCCTGAGCCCACCGCCGGCGGCAAACCCCTGCTCGCTCGCGCTGCCCTCCGCAGGGCCTGACCCGCGGTCGCTCGCTGTCTGCCGGGCCGAGCCTCCCCCACGCCCCGCAGGCCCCGGCCACCGCTGCCGGGACGGCTCTCGCCCGTCCCTCCGGCCCGACTGCGAGGCCTCCCGGGCGAGGGGACGCTCCGAGGGCTACCGCCCTACTCTGGGACCTCATGTCTCCGTCTGCAGCCCCACAGCCAAGTGGAGGGAGTAGATCCCAGTGTGTGTCCCGGGGACCCCACCCGGAACCAGAGCGAGTCACTGCTCGCCGTGGGCGTCCCAGAGAAACGAACGCGGGACGCGTGCTAACGTGCGTCCAGCCAGGTGGACGCTTCCTCGCGCGGGAATTCTCGGGACCTTTCAAAGCAGACCCACAGGTCAGGTTGCCCAGCATCAGGCGTCTTGACCCCGACGCTATTACCCCATTTCACCCCGAAACCACCGGGGAGGCAGGAACGTCCATTTCACAGAAGCAGCAGCTGAGGCCCAGGAAGTCAACAGCTGAGACGGGAGTGAGGGCCGAGAGCAGGGACCCCAGCCCGGCCTCTTCCCTGAAGGCAAGGCCGGCAGTGCCCCCTCCATGCACAGCCCAGGACCCTCCTCACGGAGCATCTGGGGGGGCTGTGACGGGGGCAGGTCATGCGTCCCTCTGGGCCCCAGTGTCCTCACGTGCAGTGGATACTGGGATCTGCTTTACGGAGCACGGGGCTGCCGCCGGGGGGAGCCTCGGCCCGACAGAGGCTTGCCCTGTGCCAGCCCCATGGAAGGGTCGCGTCAGCTGCCGGCCTGGGCCCTGGACGTCAGGACCGTAGGCGCCAGGACTGCTAGCACCAGCAGGTGGGCAGGCCGCGGCTACTGGCGTCTCGGGGCAGGATGGACGACGGCAGCTCATCGCCTGACAAACTGTGGGCAAACCCTGGGCCCGACCACCAAGTGGATGAACCTCAAAGTGCTGCTCGTATTATCCCTAGTGAGATGTCTCCCCATAAAACCGTCCACAGGACCCTGCTGCACCTTTCGCCCCGCCCACCCGGGCGCAGCTGACCCGGAGGCTGCCGCCCTCACACTCACCCGGAACTTCTGGTTGATGGGGTAGACCACTTTGGCCTTCAGCGCAAATGCTGTGACGTTGCTGTTGACAGAAGGCTCGCCGTCCTGGGGAGCAGAGGGGGGGACCGTGTGGGGCTCCCCGTGAAATGAAGGGGAACCACCAAGAGTCTCCAAAACACCACTGCCCAGGTGTCAGCAGCCTCAGGAAGGGACCGTAACAGGCGCATTTGCACCCAGGTGAGGACCAGTGGAGGGAGGGAGGGACAGAGAGATGGACAGATAGACAGATGGGGGAGGGTGGGTGAGTGGGTGGATTGTGGCTCTGTTTCCAGGGGTTTGTCTTCAAAGGGGAGACCAACCCCAAGCTGCACTTAATGTGGACAACACAAGTGTGAGAAGGATGTTGGGGTCCCGGCTTGGTCGGGGGGTAAAGAACCAGGGAGCGCTCGGTACAGGGATCCAAGCCAGTGTGGGCCGCCACCTGCAGGACCCCTGTTTCGTTTTGTGGCAGCTCTTCTTCTTAAGGTCTGATCTCCAACTTCTGAGCCTCTCCCCCGTCGAAGCAGTACAATTATTCAGAAAACTTGGTTGTGCAAATTTACAATGTGAAACTTCTTCAGCTAAAGCAGCACCGTTATTCAGAGAACTAGTTAAGGCGCCATCGTGGGTAAAGCGAGGCTGTTCCACCCACGGACACGAGGGGCTCTCCCACAGCACACCCCAGCGTCTCCACAAGGAGTGCTCCTTTCCCCCCCAAAGCAAGAGCCTGGGATGCAGAGAAGGGAGGCTGTGGCGGAGCACACCTCAGAACTTTCTGGAATTTTCTGTCTTTCGGCTGGGTGAGCTAGTTACCAAAACAGAGCTCACACCAGGAGGGGCAGGAAGTGCGGTGCCGAGGTGCCCTGTGCCAGCCCACGCGGCCCCGCCCGCGGCCCCTGACAGTTTAGTCCGAAGAAGCCTGGCAGGACGGCCAGCCGAGCCCGGGACAGGCCAATCTTTAACCCAGCTCCTGGCAATGATTAGCTCGACAATGGGCAGTGGCCAGATAGTGCGAAGCAGTTTGTGGGTAAAACATGACTAGGTGGAAAAGTGAGCTGGCCTTTGGGGAGATAGGAAGGCTGCCCCCCCCCAAACAATGACTGAGCAGCAGGAAATTTTTAGAGTTTAGAGATGAGCCCGGGAGCGGCCTCTTACTGTCATGGTGCAGGGGAGCCCCCGAGGCTCAGAGAAGTCGTGGGTGGATCCCAGGGATGTGGGTCCCAGGGGTGTGGATCCCAAAGCCAGTGTGGGTTTCATCATATCCAAGGCTTCCTTCCCAGGGACACAGGCTGTTTTCTTAGTTTTTTTAAAGCTTCACTGAGACATAATCCACATCCAGGCAACTCTACCACATTAAATACACGATCTAACAATTTTCCGTATATTCACAGCGATGTACAACCATCACCCAATTCACTGAAGCATATTTTAATCATGTCAAAAAGAAATAGGCGCCTTTTGGCTATGTGCCATTCCCCTGTCCCCACCCCAAGCAACTGCCAGGCCGCTCTGTCCCTGTCCCTTTCCTTGTTCTGGACGGTCCATGTGAATGGACTCCCAGAGCACGGGCTCTTTGGTGACTGGCTTCTTTCTATGAGAAGGTTTCAGGGTTCAGGTGTGTTGTAGCATGTTGTGAGGCTTTATTCTTTTTTATGGCTGCCTAATATTCCACTGGAAGGATATGCCGAATTCTATTAATCCTTCTGTCAGTTGATGGGTACCTGGTTGTTCTGGTGGCTGTGAACAGTGCTGTTCTGAACATTTGTGGGTAAGTCTGGGTGGACGTGCTTTCATTTGTGAGCAGGATTTTAGTAATGTGAAAGGAGGGAGCCAGTGGGATAGAGACAGATGAGGGAAAGAGGGAAACTGAGGCAAGGAGACACACACCATAGATTCCCACCACGCGCACATGTGTGAGCACACACACACACACACAGAGCACACGAGGAGAGACAAGCACCTGGAAACAGGCCAGGGCTGGGCTGAGACACAGGACATCTGGGAAGTCTGACTGCTCCCTGCCTGCTCCTGGATGGGCCAGGAGGATGCCCTCGCCCGCCCGGACCAGCGCAGGAAGGGCAGCTACTCCTCCTGGCCCTGCCCAGCATGGGCGGGGAGCTCTGTCTGCAGAGTGTTGGCAGGGGTGACGCTCCAAAACCCAGGCTTCGGATTACCTGGAAATCCCACTGGTTTCCGCCCCGGGTGACGGTCACTCTCAAACAGGCAGCTCCTTCCCCTCCGTGTAAGCGGAGGCCCCGACCTCGACCATGTCAGAGCAGGGAAGCGGGCCCTCCGGGGCGACAGCCCCAGCCACGGGACTCCCCACTGTCACCCAGCACCCCGAGCCTCAGCCTCCTCCTTGGAAAAGGGAACATAAAAAAAACGGCCCCAGGGGGCTGGAGGTCACCCACGTCACCCACGTCACACCACTCAAAACTGACCTCAGAAAAGCGCCAGACTTGCCAAGAACAAGCCAAAGAAACAACAGAAAGGCCTCGTTCAGCGTCTGCCCTCGTTCCAGGCTCCCGCCCTCCCCAGCCTCTGTCTCCAGCTCTGTCTCTGCATCCGAACCTGCATCTTGCTCGTCTCCAGCTCTGCATTTACATCTGTGCAGTGGGCCCAGTGCCTCCAGCCTGGCACTTCCTGGGCAGCGGGAAGTGACCAGAAATGTCAACCGCTGGCAGAGGTGCCCCCTCCACCCCGGAGCACGTGGGGATGGACGCTCGGGGGGCAGGTGCAGGCGACAGAGCAAGGGCTGGGAGCGGGTTCAAGGAAGACCCCCCAAACACTGCACCAGAGACCCGGCACTTCCCTCCTCGACGCCGACTTAATATTCAGTTAAAAGAAACAGAAGGTCATGAACACAAACAGACGCAGCCCCACGAGTTCACGGAGCCTTACTCAGAGGAGCCAGTCACCGAAGCAGCCCCCAGGGGCCGCGCAACACGGAAAAATCTCAACAGTGTTGTGTTGAGGGGACACAGCACGAGGCACATGGCTCCCTTCATGTAAGTTCCAGAAGAGCAAAACCACTCTATGCTGATGGAAATCCCGGTGACGGAAGCTGCTAGAGGCAACAGGGTGGAGGGTTAACCATAAAGAGAGACCACGGAACTTTTGGGGTGATGGAACATTCCTGAGTGGGGCCTCATCACACAGGTATATACACGCATCAATTTGATGCGGCAAAACTCATCAAATTGTGGGGTTAAAATCTGCAAATTATAGCTCAAAACAGAAGCTCATGGAGTCACGGGTGTCCCGCCTGGTGTGGATGACACCCGTGTGCAGGTGGGACACCCCACACGCACCTGTGCACCGGAGCCCCAGCACCTGCTTACATCCAGAGCCGCCTCCTCGGTCTCCACCGGGGCTTCTCTCCTCCTCCTCCTGGGCAGGGAGTCAGTGTCCGAGGGGGTCTGCACGTTGGACTCCAAGTTCTTGAGCAAGTTCTGGGTGTCTTCTTTCTAAATCCCAAGAGGAAGGGGGAGGGCAGGGGACATGGGTGGGCGTCAGGCTGTGGCAGTCACTCCGGCTCCTGCAGGGCCTGCCTCCCAGCCCCCGGGGGTGCTGGACCCCTCAAGAGCATCCTGGAAGTGCTCTCCTGAGAGCCCCCACCGAGGTCCCACACCCCAGCGCAGCAGCGTGCCCCAGGGCGCGGAGGCCACACCCACAGGCAGCTCAGAGCCTCCTTCTCCCCGGTGGGAGGGGCCTGGCGGGCTGTGAGCCCCAGCGTGGCCTGGGGACAGGAGGCTTCACTTTCCTGTTATTCCCGACCGTGTCATTACAGGATTTTTCAAACATCTTAGTGGTTCCCAGTGGACCCTCGTTATTTGTGGCCTCTGCATTCGCTCTCTTGTCCACTCACTAGTGTTTGTAACCCGAGAACACCGCGGCAGTTTCGGGGTCTCTAGACACACACACACACACACACACACAATGGACTCAAGTTTGACTTGCCCGACACACAGTTTCCACCCAGAGCTGAAAAGGCACCCCCTGCACCCCACTGCCGCGTCCGCTCCCGCGCGGCAAACCCCTTCCAGCAGTGCCGACTTTCTGCTCGTGGGGTTTTTTTCTGGGTGATGTTGCTGCGTACACGACCGCTGCACGCAGCGCCGGCGCTGTCAGGGTCTGAGCGTGGAGGCCGAGATAGGCCCCGGGAGGACACACCTGTCCGATCAGCTCCGCTCAAGCACGAGTTAGAGAGCTGTGGGCCCCGAGTTCAATGGTAGTGAGCCCACGGCGCGGATTACATCAGTTGTCCAAACACAAATACACACAAGACAGGGTCAGCGTGTTATCCGTGTTATGTTCTGTATTCGTGTAATAATAAAGCAAGCCACAGAAAAGAAAATGTTAAGAAAATCACAAGGGAACTCAATGACAGGATCGCAGTGCGTCCATCCACACCATAAGCTCACACCATCGGCTTTTAGGGAAATTGGCTTATGGGTAGACCCCGAGTTCAAACCCGCACTGTGAGGCTCAACTGTATATCCAAATGCCTTCAAAGGAAATGTGCATAAACGGGGTGGGGGGTGAGGGGAAAGCCTTAGTGTTAAATGCAAAATAAGGACATAGATCCAAGGAAATGAAAAAGCAGGTAACTATTGGTTCCAGAGAAAATACATTGTGCGAAAAAGGGCTCATAATCACAGCTGAGCCCCGATTTATGGTGAAAACTGTTCACAGAATCATGATACAGAAACAGTGAATCCTGACTGCACCAAATAAACTGCCCCGGTGGGCATGGCGGGTGCCCATGAAGGCCCACCACCCCTGCAGCCCGAAGCCCGGGGCTGGACTGCACAACCCCAAAAGCTAGAAGTAGCAAAGCAAGTGGGAATTAATGACACAACAACCCCTAGTGGTCACCTGCCAGGTGGAAGAGCTGGTGCGTCTACCTGCCAGACTCCTGTTCAGGTGGGCAGGCCTGGGGGGGATGCCACATCATCTCAGGTCCCCCAAAGAGGCCAAGGGTGGGAAGACCCCACATGGTGATCACAGCTTGTGCTTCCCATCCCACCACGGCAGGGTGATGCTTCACCAGAGCCCTTCGCCCACCCCGTCCGCGAACAACACAGTGGCCTGGGGCCACACACCTCTGTCATTCTGGCAAGGTACATAATGGCTCCAGGACTCAGTCTCCTCATCTGCCAAACGGGTACATTAATGACAGAAACAAAGATGTTCAGGGAACTCAAGGAGATAATTTGGTAAGAGGCTCTTGCTCAGTGCCTGGCACAGGCAGCACGGGTGATGTGCTGGCATCAGCGCCTCGGGCACAGAACTCCATGCCTCCAGGGCAGCGTCTGCAGGAGAACAGCGAAGTCCACCCTGGAGCTGAGTGAAAGGCAATGAGGCAGCTGGGACGCAGGAGCCCCAGGAGGAAATCCACAGAGCAAGGGGCAGGAATGGGCATGGGGAGGGCACCCCCAGCCCTCCCTGCCCCCCAGCGAAGCCTGCCCCTCTGCCAACACCGACTTCAAACTCTTGGGGCTACAGGTGAGGAGACTGAAGCCTGCAGCCTACCCGCTCCTCCCAGCGCACGGTGCGCGGGATGGCGCAGGCACTTCCAGGGGACCCCGGCCAGGGCGCTTCTGGACGCTGCGCCCCCAGAATCCCTGCCTCTAGCCCCGTCGTGGGGCAGCAGCGCCCGGAGGCCGGAGTGCGCGCGCCAGGCCACCCACCGCGCCCCGCGCCCCCACCCGGCTGCGCGCGGGCCGACCCACCTGGAGCCTGGGGCGCCGGCGGGCGCGGCAGCCGAGCCAGAGGCCGAGGCCGAGGCCGAGCGCGGTGCCCAGCAGCACGGCGGGGGCCAGCAGCGCGGGCGAGGCCCGCAGCGCGTCCCGGCCCCTCAGCAGCCGCGCGTCGCCCCAGCAGGCCGCCCCGCCGCGGGCCATGGGGGTGCTCAGGGGGCCGCCCCGCCGCGGGCCATGGGGGTGCTCAGGGGGCCGCCCCGCCGCGGCCATCGGGGTGCTCAGGCGGCCGCCCCGCCGCATCCCGCCGCGCGCCCGGTCCCCGCCCGCCCCGCGCGCGCCCTCGTCCCTGCGCGGCCCGCCCGAGGGAGGAGCCGCCGCGGTCACCCCAAACTTTGAGCCCCGCCCGCGCCGCCCGCGCCGCCTGCGCACTGAGCATGCCCGGGAGGGGCGCGGCCTCGCCTTGGGGAGGGGTCTCGGCGTCCCCGCCTCGCGGGGCTCCCAGCGGGGCCCGCCCAGGCAGGGGAGGGGGGGCCCGGGCGGGGCCTGGGGCTGACAGCGGCTGGGGCGGGACCAGCTCCCCGCCTTGCTCCCCGGCCCTTCACCGCCTCCCGCTCCCCGCGCCGGCCCGGGCCCAGCCCTCCCGCCCAGGGGATGGGGTGCCCAGGGGATGGGGTGCCCGATAGGGAGGGCCCAGGGGGTGCAGGGGGCCCCGGGGCAGGTAGGGTCCGCCCCTGCGCCTAACTCCTTCCTTTGGTCTTTTTCTCTTTGCAATTCAGCGAGGCCCGTCGCCCTGCAGTCCGGCAGCTCTCTGACAGGGTCTCTCCCCGCGGCTGTGGTGGCCCACGACGGCTCCGCCGGCCCCTGGCCTGGACCTTGCCCCCCGAGGACTCCAGCTTCAGTCCCGCATCGCTCACCAAGGTCACGGCTCCGGCTGAGGCTGGGGTCACCCCTTCGCTCAGCCTTACCCGGGCCCCGCAGCAGAAAGCGGCCCCGCCGGCCCAGCCCGGCCCGAGACCACAGACGGGCCCTGCTGTCCTGGCCTGGCGGCCGCCCGGCCCAGCCGGCCCTCGCGGCCTGTCCTCACAGTCCTGCCGGCAGGCCGGGCGGGGCGGCTCTCCAGCTGCCTTTGTGCACAAGGGGACGCCGGCCGGCCGCTCGGGCAGACCCGGCCCCTCGCCGGCCCGCCCTGGGGAGTGGACGGACACGCGCGCGGTGTCGGGGCCTGGCGGGGCTTCTGGCGTGTTTCCCCCCAAGCCTTGCGGGGTCTCCGGGTCTGGCGGACGCTTTGGCTTTGTGCGGGCCGTTTCTTTGCTGGTTCAGGCTTCGACTTTAAAAATGCAGCGTTCTTTGCATTTTCCTTTATTATAAAGTTTCTTGAATATGAAAATCATCCAAGTGGCTGTCTGTCGAATCAAATGGCCGCCGGATGCTGGACATCTTCTGCGGGCTGACCGCGGCCTTGCCTTCAGACACAGAGCCCTGCACGGGCCCGGGGGCCTGGGCTCATTGAAGTGCGAGCAGCCGCTGGGCTCTCTGCCCGTTCGGGGGTGCGTGGGTGTCCAGGACACCTCACTACGGGTGGGGACACCTGGGCCGCTCCTGGGGCTAATCCACAGCCAGGGCTCAGGCCCTGGGAGCACAGCTGGGCTGAACCGCCCCCAGCTGGACAGGACAGCGGCCGCTCCTGCAGCCCCTGCGCAGCCAGACTCCCTCCTGGCCCCTCTCCCTGCTGGACTCGCCCCCCTGGGCTCTCCAGGACCCAGGCCCTGCCTCTCAGGTCTCTAGCTGGGGCCGGGGAGGCTGATGCAGACTGGGTTCCGCCGGGAGCGTCTGCGCAGGAGAAGGCTTCATGGAGGCGCTGGGCCTGGGCTGACACTTGCCTGCCCACTGGGCACTGGTGGGGGTCACCGGGAGCCCCTGCATCCGTGGGCGCTGGGGTCTGATTGGGGAGTTCACAGCCCGGGTGTGGCTGGAGTGCAGTCGAGCGAGGCCGCCAGGCTCCAAGTGCGCCTGCTCCGCGCCCCTCGCTCCCCGCCCCCGCCTCTCCCCTCCCGCGCCTTCCCAGGCTGGCCAGTCCCCGAGGCTGGAACCGGTTCCAGAAAACTTCGGCGCGGCCGCACTGAGCATGCCCGGGGCGGGGCGGGCCGGGGTCCGGAAGCTCCGCCGCTCGGGCGCCGGGTGCTTCGGGGTCCCGGGTCCGGCGGCGATGGGCTCGGCGCGCGCCCCGGGGCGCGCCTCGTGGGTGCTGGCCTGGGGCCTCCTGGCCGGCGCCCTGGTGCTGCGCGCGGGAGCGGGGGGGCGCGCCCTGGGGCGCGCGGGCGCTGCGCTGCCCCCCGGGGACGGGCCCCGGGCTCCCGGGGCGGGGCCCGCGCGGCCGGGGCAGGTAAGGCCGGGGCAGGTAAGGCGGGTCCCGCGGCCTCAGGGCTGCCAGCGAGGGCGCTGGGCTTCGCCCCCACCGGAGGCCGGAGGCCCTCGGAGCCGGAGAAGTTAGCAGAGTTGGCTGCGCCGCCCCGTGCCTGAGTGTGCCCCGCGCGGGGGTGTGTGTGTGTCTGTGTGTGTGCCCGCGCGCGCCAGGAGGGGTCCAGAGGGCTGGGGTGGCCTCGGCCATGGGCAGCGCCGGGTCCAGCCCCCTGGAGCTCTGGGACCAGGACAGGTCGCTTCCCTTCTTGAACCCGGGCTCCTACTTTACCCCAGAGGGTGGACGGAGGTCAGGGAGTCCAGGCATGGACAGGCCACCCTCCCTGAGCCCCACCCTTCCTGAGCCCAGTAAAGCAGACTCTGGGGGCTTGGGTGGGAGTCTCGGTGACCACCGGCTCCTGCCCGAGGGATTTAGCCTCTTCCTACCTCAGGCTCCTGCTGCGGGTGCCCCTCTGAGGTCCCAGAGGTCTGACTCCCCAGAGCTGGTCCTACTGCCTTTTCCTCCTAGTCTTACACAGACAGCATAAGACTCCCCCACCCCTTCCTAGCCCCTGCGTTGCCCCTGGCTTTCGGTGACTGCTCCTCTGGGTCACCCTCACCCCCCTAATTTCTGCTGTCTCCACCCATTTCCCCCAGCCCGCCGGGCGGTCGCCCATGGTGGACACCTGACCGTCCCTTCCCCTGCTTACACCCCACCCACCAAGGCGAACCCAGGGATGTCCTTTCAGGGGTCTCTCCCATCTCCTGCTCCCCATTCAGCCTCCACAACCCCCACCCACCCACCCATCCCTGCTGAATCGCAGACCCTGGGGCTGTTGCACTTCATACAGAATTTTAGGTCTCTTAAAGAGTTTCTGTTCACTTTCTATCATCAGTTCTTAGGATTTTCACTAGAGGAGACAACGCGATATCACTCTCAGCTTACTGAGCTTTCAGAAAGTGACAAATTGTCACAAGGTCCTTAAAGTATCAGGCCCATTTGCAATGAGTAAACCCAGGCCAGGGAGCCATGCCCGGGCCGGCCTGTGCTCTCTTGCTGGCCCCAGGCTCAGAGCCTGCTCACGGGGCCTCGCCTGCTTTGCACCTCCTCTCCCTGTGCGAGAACATTCCCACAAGAAGGGACACAGGGAAAGCTTTCTAGGTGGACAGAGACAGTAGCCACAGCAGGTGCTGATCTGTCCCACGAATCTCACGCTTCCCCGTGTCCACCCACCCGAGACCTGTCTCAGCACCGACCACAGAAACTAGCCACGAGCTGGACTCAGAGCCGGGCCTCGAGTCCACTCAGCTCTCAAGGTCCTCACCATGCGGTGCAGAAGCCGCATGTCCAGAGCCAGCCTGTCGGGGTGGGACTTATTCTCCAGCACTGATTCCCTGGGGGGCCTGGAAGGGGCTGAGTCTGGGGACACTGCTGCCCGCGTCACTGCGCTGTTATGACTCCCTGTGTCACTGTCACTTGGAGCAACAGGCCAAGGCAGCTTCATTATTTTTGGTTACTGTTACTCACTCCAGAGGCCTTTCTGAGACGGCGTATTTCACAACGGTGCAGTGGAAGGGCTGTTTGGATTCCCGTGGACAAGTCGTCATCACTGAACTAACCTTTGTGCTAAGCAACCTGGGAGGAGGCTTTGAGGTGCTCAGTTTGGGGAAGAGGCTCAGGGAGGCTGAGAGACGTAGCCAGGGACACACAGCCAGTGCGGAGTTCCAGCAGAAGTCTAGCTCTGACTCCCTGGTTTTCACTCCGTGAAAACCTTCAGCATCTTCAGGTTTCAGGCACTTGGGGCTCACCCCGTGTTGCAGGGTAGTGGGGAGCAGAGCTGGGACGGAACCCCAGACTCTGAATATGTCATATTTGGCCACAGCTCCCGAGACAGCACCTAGAAGCACAGCCACGCCCGAGCTGTTCTGTAGGAAAGAGAGAGACTTCTGTGCTGGGGAGCGGGGACGGCTGACTTGGGAGGAGACCCTGTAGGCTCCGGTTGGGCCTGCACTCACCCCCTTGCGGCTGTTGACAGCTACCCCCGCCCCCTTCTTGCCAGTGTGCTCTTCAGTTAATGACTGTGCCTTTTGGATCATGTAGGTCCTGCCTGGAGTGACCCAGCCCTGTGCAGAGACCTCGCGCTGCGGGGCTATAGGTACGTTTCTTTGTTCATCTGCATTGCTTTGACCCTGGGGGAGAATCAGACCCTAACACATAGCCCTCCAGCCCCTTCTCTCACGGTGCTGACCCGACAAAGCCAGGAGTGTGCCCCCCTCCAACAGCTGCCTGGAACTTTTTTGCCCTGAACAGAATTGGGGTTGGGGGGGGCTTGTAAGAGCCTCCCCCGAAAGGATGAACAAACCACAGAAGGTGGGTGCCCACCCACGTGTGACTTCACGGTGGCTGCTGGGACACGTTCTCAGCACGCAGCGCCTGCACACTTACCCTCACAGAGCTGGGGGCGGGGGCGGGACTCGGTGTCGCTGAGCTGAGGTCAAGGTCTCCAGCTTGAGAAAGTGTCTTTCCTTCTTTGCTGGTATCTGGAGCTGCCAGGTCCGGACCGCTTCCCCTGTTCCTAGCCTGCAGCAAGGTCCCTCCTCAGGGACCGCAGCTGCTGCTTTCCTGGTCACGACACTCTCTGCCTCTTCTCAGGAACCCTGGGGCTACCCTTTGGGCCACCTGGCTGGTGCAGGTCATTTCCCCATCTTGAAGCCCTTGGTTTAATCCCACCTGCAAAGCCTGGCTGCTCTATAACACATCCACAGGCACCGAGGCTTAGGGCCCGGTGTCCCTGGAGACCCTTATTCAGCCAACTGCAGGGACAGACCCCCCCCCCCTCAATGCAGCTCCCTCCAGCAGAAGGGAGTTGTGGTCCAGGCAAGTGAAACGTGCCAGCCTGGGCGCTGCGGACCCAGGATCCTGGAGTGCTGGGGCCTCTGCCTTGTCTGTCTGTGCCTCTTGACCGCTGCGTCCTCTGGTGCTGTCCTCCCAGTGATGGGAAGACTGCCCTAGCAGGAGCTTTCAGGCCCTCAGAGCTGGCACTTGCAAAGTGGAGGGACTCCTGGTGGCTCTGGCCCAAGTCCCAGGTGAAGACCCGACGGTCTCAGCCTGGCCTGCCCCCGACGTCATATAAGATTTAATTAGATCCTTGGACAACCGGGTCTGATGGTCTTTTAATCACTGGCCCGGTGGGGGAGACTGAGGCCCAGAGACTCTGCTGCCAGCCTGGTCCACAGCTGGTTAGCAGCAGGCAGCGCCCACCTGGGACGCCTCTCTACACCCCAGCCAGCACATCTGCAGGTCATGCAGGGTGCGTGTGAACATTCCAGAATACATTGACACAGAGCAAGGCTAGAGGACGCCCCTCCTCGCTGCATGGCCGAGTGGGCACTGGGCCTGCGGCGGGCAGCTACAGCCTCAGGGTTGACTGCTGACACTCACCGGGCCCTGATTGCAGCCGACAGTGCTCAGGAGGACCCGTGAGCAAGTTTGCTCTCCAGGTAAACTGAGGCAGAGTGAGGTCAGGTGACTTGGACGCAGCGTGCGGGAGGGAGCCATCTGGTGCTGTGTGTGTGGGGTCACCAGGGTGGCTCGATTCAGCAGATCATTTTCATGCACAGCCCGGGGAAGGGCCCACGGGGACTGTCCCAGCCCGGCCTCCAGTCAGCGCGCCTGGTTTCCCTGGCAGAGGTGACAGCCGTTTGTCCATCCCTTCACTCAGCCGCTCGTGCATTCATTCAGCAAACACTCCCGGTGCCCCGACGCGCGTGGGCTCCGACTTCAGAGCGCAGCCCCCTCCGCCGTCTCTCTCCGAAGTACGTGACGCCCGTGTGTTCCTTTTTGCAGCGGAAACCCCATTTGGGAGGAAACTCACCGGAAAACTCGCAACCTCTGGCCCACACCCAACTTCTGCCGCCCGCGGGCCGTGGGCTCAGTCCGCGCTTGCTTTCGCCCCCTCACAGCCCAAGAAGACCTTGTTTAAGAGAGAATCTCCTCTCACCCTCCGCCCGGTGAGCAGCACGCGTGAGGCTTTCACAGAAAGACCCAAAGCTGCAAAGAAGCCGGGTCGCAGCGGGCTGGGATGATGCTACAACATTTGTACCCCCCGCACGAGCTTCCTTCTCTGTCACTAAGTAGCCATCGTCGGGGGTGAATCTGTTTCCCTTTGAAGCCTGAGGCTGCGGCTGCGGTTCTAAGGGGGCTCAGCTCTGCTTCCAGCGGCTGCCCCTGCAGCTGTCGCGCTGCGGCTGGCGGGTGAGCGGTCGGCGGGGTACGCTGGCCAGCGTAGGGCCCTCTGCGTGTCACCCTGGAGCTTCCTCAGAGAGCGGCTGGGACAGGTGCTGTGTCCCTCCACCTCACAGATAGGAAACAGGGCTGGGGGGATTCGGACATGGCCGAGGGTCCCCAGGGAGGGGAGCAGCGCCCCCTCTTCACTGCTGCTCTCTGTGTTGCTGGGTCTTGTCTTCAGGCCTCAGGTGCTGTGAGCCCCCAAGCTCGGCCCAGGGTCCCACGGCTGCGCCTCCGCCTTGCCCCCCACCATTCCCCGAGTGGTTGCGTTGGCTCCCTAGACCTGCCGTAGGTGACGTCCAGCGCGGTGGCTTGACACGGTGGCGTTGTTTCTCCCAGGGTTCCCGAGCCCAGGAGTCCATAATCAGGGTGGGGAAGGCTGCTGGGGGCCGTGCTCCTGGGCTTGTGGCTGTCCCTCTCCAGTGTCTTCTTGGAGACAGAGAAGTGATAGGGATAGAGATGGGGTGTATGCGGAAGGGGGAGAAGCGGAGGGATAGCGTTAGGTGTGGCCGTATCTCTTTGGAAGCCGGCAGGTGCAAACACAGCAAAGCAGCTGGACCCGGGAAGAGCTGTGGCCCAAGGGGTCTCTTAGATGCTCTTCCATTGGGAACAGTGAAGCAGCGCCCCCTCCGTGTGGACGCGCGCTGCTAGCAGGGGAGGCTTAGCAGAAAGACAGGGCTCTGGGGAACGGCTCCGCGCAGGAACCTCTCTGCTTGAGCTGCGGCCGGCGAGCCCTCAGCTGACACGGGCCTGCCCAGCGGGCAGGGTCCTCTCCCGCAGCCCGGCCAGCGCGCCTCCCGGCCAGCGTCAGTCCTGCCGCCGAGTCCCTGTGACGGCGCGTGTCCGTGCGCCCCGATCAGGAGGCGCCCCGTCACCTCACAGCCGCGTCTGTTCTCCTGGGGCTCAGGACCTCCCTTGCATGCCGTTTAAAAGGCTCCCATGAGTACTTGCGCCCTTACTGCGCCTGCACGAGTGACCCTCTGCCCCCCTTCCGTGTTCCGCTCGTCCCCTTATTACGTCTGACATCACATGGCTCGTCATCTTCGTGTCTGTATTTTGTTATAGTATGGAGAGACCTCGAAGGAGACGCGAGGTGCGCCAGAGAGTGGAGTGATTTTTCAAAAATGTGCAGTGGTGAGTTTGCACAGGAGGCCCGTGCGGGTGGTCTCTCCTGAGCTGCTCCGAGGCGGTGACTTCCCCATTCTCCGAAACTGTCCCCAGCAATGGCTTGGCAGGTGTGAGGCAGAACCCCCGGGGCCTTTGAAACCAGGCCTGACAGAATTCTCTGTGGGACCCCGGTCCCCGGCCTCTGCCCGAGCCCGGAGCAGGCCCACGTTGGGCTGGCCTGACCTCCCCGAAAGCCGGGCGCCGCGCCCACCCGCGCCTCCTCTCCGTCCTAGGTGTCGGGGCCCAAGGACTTGCAGACAGCGCAGGTGCGGCTGCTCGTGAACAACACGCGGGTGCCCGCTGCGGCCAACCTCTCCGACCTGCTGCTGCTGGACAACATCACCGGGCTCAGCGTGCGGGGGTCGCCCGGAAATGGGACCGCGGAGGGGCTGCAGGCGTTCAGCAGGCAGTTTCTGCAAGGTAGCGGAACCTCCTGCGTCGGGGCTGGAATACGAAGACACACAGGGTAGAGTGTGGCGCTCACGCGCTCTGCCTGGGCCACTCGCTCGTCCTCAACGACGGAGCTATCTCAGGCATCAGAGGAGGTGGCCGCCCCCAATCACTGCCGCCGGAAAGCTGGCCTTGTGTTAAGTTAGAGCAGGCGCTGGGGAGGGGGCCTGAGTGGCTTGTGCATCATCTAAAAAAGCATCACAATCATAGTTTCCACTACCCCACTCAGATGACTGCCAGCTCGCCCCCCGGCCAGGGGTGCGCCTCTGCCTCTGGCCAGACCCCTGGCCAGGTAAGCTACGTCCCCAGACCCAGCCGTCCGCGTTCCCCAGGCCGCGGCTGGGGTCAGAGGCATCTGCTGTGAAGAGATTTCTTTTGGGTGTAGTTCCCAGAGCACCCCCAGTCTGTGCCAGGCGACTGGAACCCACCTGAGAGGGCACCCAAGGACGCAGTTGGCGGGGGGGTGGGGGTGCCCAGTGGTGCAGTGGGCGGGATCTGCTCCCGGCCCTAGGTGGGCAGGTCTCCACCTTCGGAAAGTGGGCTGGGGGCACACTGCCTCCTGAGAGCCCTGAAACGCACACAGGCAGCTGCTCCTCCCCCGGGGTCTCCAGAGCTGTCCGCACCTCGGGGTCTGATGCGGAGCCCCCCTCCAACACCTGTCTCCCGAGAGTGGGCATTTGCTGCCCTGGCATCACACCACACGGGGTGTTGAGTCAGGGTCCCCAGGAGAGGCCTCTCCTTAAGTGCAAGCAGTTTCTGTAACTAGGCAGTGAGGGCAAGGAGAGGCCATGGGGGTGGAGGGGACCCCACGGGAGGTGGGGAGGAGGTGGCCTCTCCACCGCCCCTGCCCCTCACACCGTGCCCATGCCACGTCCAGGCCGCAGGAGCCACTGTCGGAAGCTCTCAGCCTGGCCGTGTGGACCGGACAGTGGGGAACAAATCCATCCCCGTCTGGATTCCAAGCCAAATTAGAAGGTCCTGGCTTCTCGGGTGTCTGAGCTGAACACACCCCACATACGGAGAGCAGGCCCCCTGCCCCAGGCCCCGCTGGGGTGGGGCACCCAGCTCAGTCACCCAGGAGCAAAAGGGGGCTCCTGGCGCCCGGTGGTAGGAGGTGCCCAGCCTCTGGTGTCCCTGAGGTCAGCCTGCTTTTCGTGCCTGCCTGCCGGGCCCCGGCCTGGACTCACGCGCTTTCTCTCCGAGCAGTGGGAGACGCCTTCTTGGTCAGCTACACGGCCTCGCTGGACGCCCGAGACCTCGGGGCTGGCACCGTCCTGACACTCCCAGCCCGGCTCTCCTTCCAGACGTCGCCCACGGTACTGTCCCCGGCTGTGAGCTCTGTCTTGGCGCGGCTGCCCAGCCTGTGCCGGGCACCCGGACCAGGAGGTTCCAGAGACCCTGACACTCCTGTCCCTCCTCCCTCTCCTGCTCTCTCCCTCCTCCTCCTTCCGCTGTTCTTCCTCCTCCTCCTCCCTGCCTCTCAGCCTTCTCCCCCACCTGGCCCCCTTCCTCTTTCTACCCCTCCCCCTCCCCCCTCGCTTCCCACCCTCACCCCTTTCTCCTTCCCCCCAACACACCCCCCCTCCTCTCTCTCCTATGATGTCCTAGTCTGGACAAGTGCTCGGGAGAGAACATGGCCGTCTTCTGTGTCCTCACGTGGCCATCCTGTGAACCGCAATCTCTTACAGGGATGCTGGTCATATAGGGTCAGGGCCACCCTAATGGCCTCACTTTCCTTAGTCACCTGGTTTAAAGCCCGATCTCCGTGTGCAGCCTCCTGAGGCGTGGGGCTGCCCTGCAGGGGTCTCGGCGGCTCCATCTAGCACGCTGCGGCTCCCCTCCGAGCGTCCTGGCTGTGCGTGCCCCTCATCGGCACCACCGGGCAGCTGCCGTCAGGCGTGGGTCCCATGGGTGCTGCGGCCGGAGACCCTGTGCTTGGCCCCCAGCAGCTCACACGCTGGCCCTTTGGTCATTTCATCCTGACTCCAGCCCTGGAGACCAGGCGTTAATTGATGTGGGAAATGAGGCGCCCTGCGTCACCCCAGGCCCCGCAGCAGAATCAAAATCAGCCCCCCAGCTGCTGGCTTCCGCACCCCCAAGGCTGGAGAGCCGTGTGCAAGAGGGAAAAAATCCCATGTAAAGCCGATGAAATGATTTCTGAAAAGTAAGGACCAAAGACAACCGTAAAGAGCTGTTGGGCAAGACAAGCACCTGCGATAACAGTTCAGCGCGGAGCTAAGAGCAGAGGACCAGGAGGGTGACGCGAGATAAACGGCCCCCATGCCAGAGCTCGCGGAGCCCGGCAGAGTTAGATGAGGCAGCAGCGAGCAGGGCCAACCTGGTGGCCGGGGCTCCTGCCTTCAGGCGCGAGTGGGGACCACAGTGCGCACCCCCACGTGCCTGGGGCTGGCTGAGGTGGCGGAGACCAGGGCCCTCGCAGCCCGACGGGTCCTGCCTGTTCCTTTGCTTAATGCCTCATACTTGTCCGTGGGGCTCAGGGAGTTGGCACAGGCTGTGGGGGCTCTCAGGGCAGAGTCAGCAGGATAGACGGAGCCCCTGCTCCAGCCACTGCCCACGCTGCCCCTACGACACCCGCTGCCTGGCCGGGACCCAGAGGATTGGCCTCGCAGCAGGCACCTCACCTGCTTCCCCAATTTTCTGAGCAGAGGATGCTGGAGACCTTTAGGGTAGCTCAGGGCTGGGGCTTGGGGTGCAGGTGCATCAGAACGAGGGGTGACCTCTAGAGCAGGCCGTCACAGCCTTCCTCGGGGCTGGAGGTTGGGACTGAGTGAGCAGCTGCCGGCTCCAGTCCATGGCTGGTGGGCTTTGGGGTCAGCCCTTAGCTCCTACCCCCGACCCAGCCCAGAATTTCACCACCGGGCCCAGCACTTTCCGAGGCAATAGGGACCCTGGTGGTTGGATTCACAGGGGCGCTCTGGAGAGCAAGAGGCGCCGCGTGTCCAGGGCCTTTCCTAAGCCCGGCCCCCAGCAGGACGGGACGGGGCAGCTGCAAGCACAGGGTTGGAAGCAGACGTCGCCGTGTCAGGCTCCAGAACCCGCTACAGAAGCATTTTCTTTCTTTTCTAGAACAGAACACAGCTGGAGGCCCACTTCACCCTCACAGTGGAAGAAAAGATACAGGTAAGAGAAGCCTGTTGGCTGGGCCCTTACCTTGTCCCCGCCGTGACCCGCGTGTGCTGGTGTCTCGCTGTCCTCGGATCCCCAGGGAGGGGCCCAGGTGTGCAGTGGGGGCCCCTGTGTGGGGTCCCCCATGTGGCCTGAGCCCATCCGGCTGGCATGGCGACCTCGGTGGGGGGAGGCCAGGGCTCCAGGGCCATCGGCGGCGGGTCCCCTGTGGCTGGGCGCCAGGGGTCTGGTAGACGAGGCTTCCTAGGCATCATCTCACGCCTGCAGGACGACTGCGTGGCCCGTGTGACCCCGTGGGGAGGATTCCGGGGCTTGCTCTCAGCTTGCTCTGGACGCCACCCCGTGGGCCTTTCCTCTTTGCTCTGTTGCGTTGTATTTCATTGTTGTGGGTCGTCACCGTGAGTGCGGCTGAGTCTTGGGAACCTTGTGAATCACTGAACCTGGGGTGGTCGCAGGGAGCCCCCGTGCTGTGGTGATCATTTCCGAAGGTGAGGAGGCGAGAGTAGAATTGAGCAGAGGAAGAAGTCAGGTGGCCCAGGCCCACGGTGTCACCTGGCAGGGAGCGCTGGAGCAGCGTCACCTGCTGAGGGCCCCTCACAGGCGCGGCTGTCCGGGGAGGGCGTGGCCTCGGCGAGGGCCTGTCTGCAGGTGAGCACGAACCAGAGGCTGGGGGTCTGGGGACCACCCTGAGCAGCTGGGCAACACGGCCTTCATCCTCCATGGGAGGCGGATGTCAGTAATGTTCTTCTTGCCTACAGAACCTGGCTTTAAAAAATACTTCTTATTATCATGTTTTGGTCTCCTGATTATACAAGTAATATATGCCTGTTATAGAACCTTAGAAAACACAGAAACATAAAGAGAAAACACTCAACAAAATTCTAGAGGAATTCTTCGTAGATTACACGTGTATATGTATACGTGTATAATTTCTATTTCAATGAAATGGGATTTTATCGTGTCTATAGTCTTGTACCTTCTTTAAAAATATTACAGTAGCCCATAAGCATTTAAATTAGAAACATAACACACAAAGATCAGTTGCATCTCTATGGACTAACAATGAGCAATCCCAAAAGGAAATTAAGAAAACAATTTCATTTACAATAGCATCAAGAATAAGATACTTAGGAATAAATTTACCCGAGAGGCAGAGTGCTTGCTTGTACACTGAAAACTACAAAATGTTGCTGAGAGAAATAAAAGAGGATACAAATAAGTGGAAAGTCATTCCGTGGACACAGGTGGAAAGAATCTGTGTTATCGACAGGCTCAATAGTATTCGTTAGTGTCAAAAATTCCAAAAAGCCATCCTAAAATGCATGTGGAATCTCATGGAGCCCAGATAGCCAGAGCAAGCTGGAAACAGAAGAGTTGGGGTGTCATACGTCTTGTTTTCAAAACTTCCTACAAAGCTGCAGTAGTCAGTGTGTGGGGTGAGGGTGTCAAGACAGACAGACAGATGGCAAGCTGTGGTCAAAGGATTTTCAACAAGGGTGTCAAGACCATTCTCTGTAGAAAGGACAGTCATTTCAACAAGTGATGTCAGGGTGCTGGGTATCCATGTGCAAAAAAAAAAAAAAAAGAAAAATGAAGTTGGACCCTAACCTAACGCCATATACAGAATTAACTCGTGGAGAGGACCAGTGACTTACACGTAAAACCTAAAACTGTAAAACAACTAGAAAAAACACAGGGAAGATTCCATGAATTGGATTTGGCAATGATTTCTTATCATGCCAACAATAAAAGATAAAATAGATCAATGCAGGACATCAAAATTAAGAGCTGTGCATCAAAGGGGCCTCCCTAGTGGCGTGGGGTTAAGTCTCAGCGCTGTCACCGGTGAGGCCTGAGTTCAATCCCTGGCCAGGGAGCTGAGCCACACGGTGCAGCAGACCTCTCCTGTCTCCCCGCTGCTCCCCTCAGCAGTGTTTTTCAGTCAGTCTGCCTGTTCTGCTCCCCACTGTCTCTGCTCAGTCCTTTCACCTCCTGCACTTCTGGCCTACACCCCAGTTCTTCTATGCAAAAAATAAAATTATAAATTAAAATTATTAAAAAAAAAAAACAGAACCTGTGCATCAAAGGACACCATCGACCAAGTCAAAAGGCAGCCTGTGGGGTGGGGAAGGCCCGTGATCACACATCTGGAAAAGCTTTACTCTCCTTAGAGAAACCGTGTCTTAGTGTGGGCTGCTGTAATGCATTTCTAGAAGCGGGTGACATGAGTAACATTTATCCCTGGCGGTTCTTGGGGCTGGAAAGGCCCACATCACACTGCCAGCAGGTCTGGGCTCCCCCCTCCCCCCACACACTTACTTTGTAGACAGTCTCCCTGCTGTCTCACCGGGGCAGAGCAGAGGGACTCTGCTGCCTGTGCCCCCTTGTGGGGCCTGGTCCCCCTCATGAGGCCCGGCCTCCTGATAGCACCACAGTGGCGTTTGCTGATCTTAGGCAGGAGTGGGGGTTAGCATCGCAGCAATAAAAAAAATAGCCAATCAGATTAAAAATTGGGCAAAGGGCTTGACTAGACTCTCTCCGCGGAAGACACGAAAGTGGCAGGGAGCACGTGACGCGTCGGCAGGAGTGTGGGAAAATGAAAACCTTTGTGTGCACAGCTGTTAGCAATGCAAAATGGTGAGATCATTCTGGAAAACAGTGTGATGTGACCCAAAGAAAAGTCAAAAATGGAAGCGCTGGAAGGTCCCAAACCCCCACTTCTGGGAGTGTACCCAGAGGAATGGAATGCAGGGTCCAAAAGACCCTTGTGCCAACCATGTTCACAGCCCCACCGTCCTCGTGGCCAGGGGGAAGGCCTTGCCCCTTTCTCCTCCCCCTGCACTCAGAAGCCTCCGTTTGTTTAGTAGTGTCGGGTAGTTTCTGTAAGGATTTTGCTTCGGGGCACGGCCCGCTGTGTACACCCAGTGTTGGCCGTTGTCATTTTCAGGACACAGCGTCAGCTCGAGCGCATTCCCTCTGGCAATAGTGACACACTCCCTCCTTCCGCAGGTCTGCGTAGTATTCCGCCCTGGTCCGGTCCTCTATCTGTGGGCGTCCAGTACTTCATTGTTTCCATGTCAGAGTGTTTCTGTTTAAACCGAGGACCACACCTCTTAGAGGACTAGGACCTCTGTCTCAGCAGCGAAGGAGCAGGGTGCCAGGGGATGTGGTTCCCTGAGGCCACATGGCCATTACGTGCAGAGGTGGGCGTTGCACCAGCTGCTGGAGTCCTGAGCTCACCCTCGGTGCTGTTGCTGGCCTTACCTGGGACAGGAGGAGGCCTGGGTCAGAGGTAGCGTGTGGCCAAAAATGGGAGCAAGGCCTGGTCTAGATGGTCCTACTATGTGCAAGCCAGCAGGCTCCAACTCCTCCAAGTGCTCATCTGTGGAGGCCTGGCCACGAGACAGCTCTGGCCCAAGCCCTGCAACCATCTCAGGAAAGCAGCCTGCAGCAGGTGGCAGACCCACCAGGGCTGGTCTGCTGCATCCAGTCCAAGCTGCCATGGTGACCCTCCTGTCACCACTGTCAAGAGTGAGCAGGAACGCAGCCCTCGCTCTCGTCCCTGCAGGTGCTACCCAACCACGGCCTTCATGCTGCAGGCTTCTTCTCAGCCTTTCTCATCTCCCTGGCACTGACCTGCCTGGTACTGTTCTCCATGCTTCGCTGCCAGTGCTGGACGGGGACCATACTCAGCAGGCGCCAGGTGGGTCTCAGGGCATCTTCCTCTGGGGGTGGGTTGGCTGTGGCGGATGCGAGGTCGAAGCTCACCCTCCTGTTCACAGGGTCTCAACCTGATCGATGTGAGAACCCTGGGGAGCTCTGGAGGAATGCACGCGCGTGTCTGGGTTCCCCTGCTGGGCCTCAGGCCCACTATCCTGGGCTGCATCCCCTCCATTAGTCACTTTTAAAAGCTCCTTGGATTTTCCTAGTCAATGGCCAGAGTTGAGAACACCTGGTCTGTGGTCTGTGGTGAGCCTGGTATCCAGGTCACATCTCAATTCAGCTCCTGTAGAAAAAACTCTTTGGGTCTCACTTCATCCAGGTTGAGGTTCACCTGACAGCTGTGATTTTCCTGTACATGATGATGATGATGATGTGATGATGACAGCATTGGTGATGATGATGATGGTGGTGGCAGTGGTGATGGTGAAGATGCTGATTTTGATGATGGGGATGGGGATAGTGGTGGGGAATGGGGATGGGGATGGGGATTTTGATGATGGGGATGGGGATGGGGATTGTGGTGATGATGATGATAATGGTGGTGATGATGATGATGGGGATGGTGGTGGTGATGATGATGATGGTGATGATGGCAGTGATGATGCTATTGGTGATGGTTCTGAAGGTGATGGTGATGACGGTGCTGTGGTGATGTATCACCCATGGCTTCATTTCATCCACATAGCAAGTCTGTGTAGGGCTTTTGGAATTAGGATCCCATTTTTCGGATGAGAAAATGGAGGCTTGGGGAAATACAGGGTCTTGCCTGGGTTGACCCTGCTTACACGTGGTGGGGCCAGTCAAGTTCCCTGGCTGCGTGACTTCCAGCGTGTGACATTCCCAAGAAGGTCTACTCACTTGTTTGTTCTGAAATTCTCTCGAAGGTTCAGCATCATGAGAACAAGCTGGAGCACTCCCAGTTTGCCTCAGCCGACGGTGTGAGTGAGGATCTTGCCCTCAATGACCAAATGATGGACATTCTGTGTTCGGAGGACCCGGAGGGCATGCTTCAGGCCTTGGAAGAGTAAGAGCTCTGAGTCACGTTTTGTTTCCAGGGATGTCATGAGTGGCATGGGGGCAGACACTGAGCGTGTTTCATGTATTTGTTCATCCATTCATGCATTTTTCACTCAGTAGTTATAACAACGTCTATGCCCAGAACTTGGCATTTGGAGAAGGGTTGAGTTGGCATGGTCTGTGCCATAGGATAGTGGCAGTCTAATCTAATGGGGACACAGATCCATAAACAGGAGGGGCCATAAAGGTTTGATGAATGCTGTGCCAAAGGGAAGATTAGGCCAGCTGAGCCCAGAAGAGGAGGTTATTACCTCTGAGACAGTCATGGAAATGCTTCTCAGAGGAGGTGATATTTTAATTAATTCTTGAAGCATTGGAAGACGCTTTCCAAGTGCATTAAGGGAGGAGAGTCCTTGCAGGCAATGAGAAGAAAGAACAGATGTAAGAAGAGGAAATGAAAATGAGCAGGATTGCTGGTGAGCGGTCAGTAGCCGTCATGGCGGACGTGTGGGGTGGGTGTTGCGTATCGTGGTGCGGAGTGAGAGGCAGCGGGGAGAGAGCGGGCGAGGGGATGTGGTTGTTTGCTGAGTTCCGTTCTTTTTATGTGTTGTAGAAATACTTGTCCTTTGCTGCTATGCACACTAACTCAGAGGGCCAGGCGCTGTTCTAGGAACTTTGCAAGGGCTGGTTCACAGAATCCTCTCAACAACCCCACCGGGCGGGGCTCTGAGCACCTGGGCCCTTTACCATCTCCCAGATGAGGACTTGAAGTTAAGGACTGTGCCCGGGGCACAGGCTCGTAAATGGGAAGGCCAGATTTCAAAGCCAGCCAGGCCGGCTCCTGCGTCCAAGCTCTTGGCCAGTGGGCGGCACCGTCCACGAGGTCTCTGCGGGGCGCACGGCCGCATCGCCAGCTGGCCTCACGCGATCAGGGTCATCAGCTCGGCCTTTCCTGCTTGCCTTTCCAGCAACATTCACAAATGATTTCTTTGTGTGTTTCCTTTGCCAGTTTCCAGTTGTCTACGAAAACTCTCAATCTTTCATTTTATTTCCTTAAACGTGCTCAGCGTAGCTTTTTTAAAGTCTCTTTAAAGTTTCGTTACTTTAAAGAAAATTTCATTTTCTTGACCCATTCTCTGTGCACCGTCTGTTCCTCTTTGTGATCCTCTTTTCTCATCTCGCATGTCTGGGTAGTTTTGACTCCGTGCTACACGCCGTGACTGAACACCGAGAGGATGCCCGAGGCCGGGGGAGTGGGGGGCAGGAGAGGGGCGGCTCCCGGCAGCATCACTCAGTGTCTCCCCGTGACGAGGCGCGAGCGGGTGTGATCAGCGCGCTTCCTAGCTCGAGGTCCGTTTTCTTCCAAATCATCCCATGAAAAGTAGAGCGACATGATTTCATTCGTGTGCCGCACGCCCCGATATTTCACTTGCACGTTGAGAGCTTGTCCACCTTCCGCCAGTGCTTAGTCCTGGGAAACAAGAAAGCATCATTCTCCTTCGTGTTTGCTCGTCAACTAAAATTAATTGAGGCAGGCAAAATTAAGTGAGTTTATTAAAGGATCAAGAGTGAGGATTCCAGCCCAGGAAAGGCCTCCAGTGAGCGCTGGGAATGCTGCCTGAATTTTGAGCTTTTCCGTGGAAATTACGCCTTCCTCGGCCAGGAGGGACACGGCGCGTTTGAGGGTTTCTACGGATGAAATCCAGGTAGGAGCCCGGGCCAGGTCCCCGAGTGATGCTAGCTCTGCGTTGAGGGAGACCAAGAGGGCTTTAAAATTCACCTTTTCTATTTAGAGCTTTTCTTCTGGAAATTGGGAGTTTTAGAAAGTCACAAATCTCAAGCGTTGACATGGCTTAAACAGCAGGTTCCAAATGCTTTATCACAGGACAGCATTTTTTCTGGGCTCAGCCTTTTCACAAAAGCAGACCAGACGCATTCTGACTCTTGGCTTGCACCCCGTGTTCGGACGAGGGAGGGCACCCACCTAATTCAAGAAGTGATGACGTATGAGAGCCCGTCCCCGTGTGACATCTCACGCAGTGACTCACGGCAGCGGGGCTTGCGGCCTGGTGCTCGGGTGCTCGGGTGCAGTCGGGGTGGAGGTTACCAAGATGTTATTCTTGATGCTGTAAATCATTTAGCAGCTCTGGAATTTTCTGTTTATTTCTCCTTGGGAGCAACCGTGATTTGCCTGAAGGGTGTTTAACATTGATTACCAAGTGTGACGTGAGAAGCGCAGTCTGAGAGCTAAATTTATTCCTGGGCGTCCCGCCTCCCCTCCCCTCCGATGTTCAATATTTATTGAATGTCTGTTCTGTTTCAGGGCCCATGGGTTGGGTGCTCATGCCAGGGATGGGCGATTTAATTTTAATCGGAGCATGGTCCATTATTTTTAATCTTTCCATCTCGACTGCAGTCAGGTTTCGGAGCTCACAGAAAGAAAATGCCACTCAGAATGTCAGGGCTTGCTTTGCATGGAAATCTGTGATCGTCTCTCTGCTAAAAATAGCTTTTTTCCCCTAGCATATAGCTTATCCCATCTGTAATTCTCAGGCTCAGCTGGGATCCTGCATGTGCCGTTCGGTGCCTTGGTGGCCATTTCATTTCTCACCCATCAGAGTCATAACCCTGCTCCATCTGGCTGATTGATCGTGGACAAAAGCTGGGTTGGCTTGCTGGCTTAGCGCTTCCATCATTCACTCCTAGGCTGCCTCTCACGAGGAGGACTTGAAGAAGGAATATTTCCTTTGATTTAGATCAGATTTCTTCTTTTTTTTTTTTTTAATTAATTTATTTATTTATACAAGCACTGGGTACAGTCAGAAACGCAGGAGGGCGAGAGAATTCACCAGAGCCAGAGCGGGGAGCAGAGCAGGCAGAAGGACCCAAGTACACTGCTGAGGGGAGCAGCGGGTGGCAGGAGAGGTCTGCGCGCCATGCGGGACCCTCCTTTGGTGGCCGGGGAGCAGCCGGGGACCGAACCAGCGCTGCAGAGGCTGCGGGCGGCTTCACAGCTCAGCGCTCAACCGCTGCGCCACCGGGAAGGCCCTAGATCAGATTTCTTGACTATTGTCAACATGGAGGTGGCTCAGCCATGGCGTGCTGGAAGGGGAGGCAGGAGGAGCTGGGCAGCGCCAGCTGGTCATAGAAGCTCTGGCAGCGTAGAGCCCCCACAGCATTTCAGCTCAGGTCTGCTCAGGCCCGACCGCACATGTCACCCCCTGCCATCTTACTAAATTCTCAGCGACTCACTTTTTCAACCGGGAAGCGGACGCTCGGAGAGGCTGAGTGTTTTTGGCTGAAGTCACACAGTGGTGATAGATTTGGACCCGGACCTGGTGCTCTCAAATCGCACTTGTAGTGACAAAGTGGCTTTTTTTTTTTTTTTTAAAGATTTATTTATTGATTGATTTATTGATTTATACATACATACATACAAGCACTGGGCACAGTCAGAAGTGCGGGAGGGTGAGAGAATTCACCAGAGCCAGAGCAGGGAGCAAGGCAGGCAGAAGGACCGAAGTACACTGCTGAGGGGAGCAGCGGGCGGCAGGAGAGGTCTGCGCGCCATGCGGGACCCTCCTCTGGTGGCCGGGGAGCAGCCGGGGATCGAACCGGCGCCGCAGAGGCTGCGGGCATCTTCGCAACCCAGCGCTCAACCGCTGCGCCACCGGGGAGGCCCCAAAGTGGCTTTTTAAAAAATATCAAGCTTAGATTTTCCCAGAGAGGCAAAGAAAAATCAGAGAAGAGAGGAGGCCCAGCCCAGCTCACATCCTGTCCGCGGGGGGGAGGGCGCCCCCTCCCGGTGCGGCCCACGTCGCTTTCCGGGCGCTCCGTCGCAGGCTTGTGCAGAGCAGGCTTCCGAGGGCTGCTGAATGGAGCCTTTGAAAGCGTGTGCTGAGGCGTTCCCAGGGGCCGGCTGTATGAGGCGTGGTTTTGTTGTCACCGCTGCTGTCCTTTTTATTCCTTACAAACCCTCTGCAGAGAAGCGATTTTGTTCCTTGTGTCTAAAACCCCGAAGCCCAGGAAGATGAAATGACTCACCTGAGGGTCTTTGTTCCTTCCCTAGGTGTGCATTCATGCATGTGATGGTTTAAAAATGGATGGATTGATTAGGTGCTTCGGCAGATCCTGGCTGAGGCCCTTCTGTGCCAAGCGCGGCGGTCGCCTGGCTGAGGTCAGCAGAGTCTGGGTTTCTGTCCTCGTGGGGCTTCCACAGGGTACAGTCCCACCCCCTGCCCGGAGCCGCGGGCGCCAAGGCCCACAGTGTCTGTTAAAGGGCAGGGGTCACTTCAGTCTCCGGGGGGTGATACAGCAGAGGGCCCCGCTGCTGGGTGAGGGGTGAGGCCTGATGTCCTCAGAAGGTGCAGAGAGAGACTTCAAGGGCCCGGATGCTGGGTGGGTGTCGAGGGAGGGGCCTAGGCTCTGGAGAGGGGAGCAGACGCCCTCGACCCCCTCCACACCCCGGCCCAGCATAAGGCTAAACTGTCTAGGCTGGTCTGGATTCTGGAAGGATCGAAGTCAGAGCTCACCCAGTGTGCGAAGTTGGTGGTAGTGGAGAGCAGCCAGCTGGTTTCCATGGCAACCGCGCTGTCGTCTTCCCCGGCAAGGTGAGGGTTTCTTGGAGGAGTTCTGTACCCAGGAACGACTCCCTCTATCAGCGGTATTAAAAAACAAAGATGTTTACTGAGCTCCTGCTGGGCGTCTGGCGCCATGCAGGGATGGTGCTGGGGAGGAACCCAGGCAAAGCGGGGACCCCCCACATGCCCACCATCCACAGGGAGAAACAACTCACACATAAATACAGCCCAGTGAGCCCGCGCAGGCAGGTCTGGGCACCCCAGCGCCTGCCCCTGCTGGGAGTGAGTCACCGCGGCCCGGGAGCCCTCGCTGTGTGACGGGGCTCGTGTGACACAGGCCTCAGCTTGCCCACACCCGCCAGCGGCCGCGAGATTCATTCGTCCTCGTCCCTCGTCCTCGCGGGGCTTTCTTAGAAATAAAAGGCAT